GTTGTTTTTGGTATTATTAATGTTGACAATTTTAAATTCAAAAATGATTCTTTGAGCAATATATATAATATAATATATTAAAATATATAAAATAGATAAAATATATATAAAATAGATAATTTATATATAAATATATATATACAATATATATTATTTAAACAACTTGCAAATATAAATTTTTATAATTGAAAAATAATTTTAATGAATGGTATTCCAAAAAAAAAAATAGAAATAATAAATCAAATAATTAAAAATAAAAATTAAAAAAAATATAAAAAATATATTAACTAAATTTTATATTAACAATTACTTTTTCTAAATTATCAACCAGACATTAAGCACAATTTTAATTGGCTTAATTTAAACTATTTTAATTTGACTTAAGATGAGCTATAAACATTAATTTAAAAATGCTCAGATCAATTTAAGATAATTTAAATTGTTTTAATAATAGTTCTAATTACTAATTTTTTCTGAAAAATATATCACCAAGCAATTATATTTTCTGCTCGTTTTGAAATGCGCATTCGCTTGCTTTATAATAATAATTTTACTACTTAAATAGAAAACAGAAATTTCATTCAATGCAGTTTTCATGCCACACTGTTTATAAACATGTGTAGTATAAATAAATATATATAATTTGGCAAAATTTCCCATTTCCATGTGCTTCAAGAAATATTATCAATTAAATATTCAAGAACATATGTATCTCGAATACGGCAGTATTTTCTAAACGATTTCCTTTTCATAAATTTACCAACATTTTTATATAGGCTATATAAATAAAGTGTATTCACAATTCGCTTGAGCACTTTGCCAAGCTTCATTATAATTTCCACAATTTTTTGTTGTATTTTTTTGTTTTTTTTTTTTTACCTTTTTTTGTAATTTTGTTTATTGTTGAGAGCTGCACAGCCCATTACCAGAAAGTACCTCCCCTAGCTTGTTAGTTAATGTATAAAATACACGTAAAATCTACGGAAATCCTGTGCATTTTTTGCGAGGAACCCAATTACGAGCCTTATTATGAGTTGACTTTTGCGCCAAGACTAAAGCTTTTTCTCTCTCACTCTCCCTCTCTCTCCCACTCTCACTCTCCAGTTCATTCTCACGCACGCTCCCTTGTGGCAGCAAATTTCTTATGTCAAGCGCCGGAACCGCCAAAAATTTGCAAATATTCTATATTGTAGCAAAATGAAATGAAAAGCCAAGAAAAGTCGATGGGACATTTGCAGAGAAACTGAAGATGCTTTCGGCTCATAAACGCATTTTTATGTCTGTGCATTTCCATTTTGTATTTTTATGGACACCACGTTAACAATGTTTACATTTAGTTGTGTTCTATATTTAAACAACAACAGCACACACACATGCACCCACACACTCACACGCACTGCTGCTGCTGCTGCGTCTGTCTTTAGTGTATTTTGTTTACAAGCAATTTTGTATGTTTTAATTTTTTTTTTTTGGGGTCTGCGTTGGCGGCATTAGAAAGCCAAAACTATTGAAAATTACCAAATGCAGGCATAGACCAGAGAACAGCTAAAGGGAGAGCCGAGAGGCGAGCCGAGTCTGCGCCTGCCCAGAGGCCCCAAGGGGACCGGGACGGCCATTTCGTATGTGGGTGGTTAATTTGGTTTGGGTCGCTAGGCGGCGGTATTTTCCTTCTTTTTTATATTTATTTTATTTTATTTTTTTTTGTGACTCGAGTTGGTCTTCGTCGTTGTCGTTGTCGCTGTCGTTGTCGTCTTCGTTGTCGGCTCAACATTAAAACCGTTTGTGCTGTATTCTGTCTTCTATAATTTTTGGGTTCGTGCTGCTTAAGAGATGCTTATGTATCCATTTGCCAGCGGCCCAACTCAACTCAATTGAGGTGGGGGCACCCTGCTTAGTTGCTGTGAGAATATTGAAAAACTTGCCTCATTGAGGATATTAGGAATGTTGATTTATCATTTATAACGGCAACAAATGACAATTTCAAGTAAGCACAGCCAAATTGATGGGCTAAGCCCAATAAACCGCAATCTACGAGCATCGGTTGATACCACAAGAATGTCTAATGAATTATTCCTAGCAAACGATATGAATAATTTATTATTTCTTATTTTCAATTTCCAATAAGCAATTTGATCTAATTTACAAAATAAGTTGCTTAAATTATGAGCTGGGCGCAAGACAATGCGACTTCAGTTCAATTTGGTCACATACATTAACTTATGTGTTGGCCAACAGTGCGTATGCTTATTATACATTTAATACATTGCGCATACGTCACGTTGTGCGAGTCGAAATGGGATTGCAAGCGAAACGCAATTTAGTATTTAAATTGCGTGCACACACAGACACCCACATTCGACAATCAGATGATGTGAAATGCTGCTACTTGCAAGGCCAAGCGGAACGCTGGCCATGTGCAAGTTACTGGCTCTAACAATAAACTGGATGCCATTCAAATTAATTGCAGAAGTCATAAAAAGCGTAACGACTTTACAGAGAGAAAGAGAGAGAACAAGAACGAGTTATCAGTGAAACGCATCAGCAGTCCCGAAAAACTTTTCGGTCGCATTTAACGCGCCACTGAGGAAAAGGCGCACGAGCAGCTATGGAAGGAGCAGTTGAGCAGGGAATGAAAACGTAACCGAAACAGAAACGTGCAAGTGACCCCAGCTCGGATAGCAGTCGATGGGCAATGGCGTAATTTATGTAGGCCCGCTAAGCCTTCTAAGCGTGAAATGTGATTATATCTGCAAATAATCACACATACTGCTCTGAGCCGAAGTATGTATACGCAGCGTATGCCAGGGCTGCCAAGCACACACAACTTGTCCAGCTCCGATAGAAAAATTTGAATGAACTAGCTAATAAAAATAAACAGTTTTTTAAATTAAATGTATATAAGCTCCGGTAGAAGTAGTAAAAAGCCATAAAATTAATCAACCATAGCGAATAAATAAGTCTAAAGGGAAAATGTTTACATTATAAAGCATAATTATGGCTTTGCCTTGCTTTGCTTTTGCATATGCGTATTCAAATAAATATTAATCAAGGCTGAACCACAATTATTTGTAAACATTTAAGTCTTAAACAAACGCAATTTCTAAATTATTTATCTAATAATGTCTTTTCATGAAAAGACGTCTAAGACGAACATATTTTCGCTTTGATAAGAATAGAGTAAGGCAAAGTCTTGGGAAATCCTTGAAAACTAGCGCGAAACCAAGGCGCACTTTAAAGCTGGCTAGGGATGTGCATCTCTGCTATTACAACAGCGACAACAACAACAATGCAGTATGCCCGCAGCCGCAGCAGCAGCAGCTGCTGTGCATTAAGCGCGTCATAAACGCGCGCACACACACGCACAGCAAGGCAGATGCACGTGCATGCAAGCTATATATCTGCAAGTGTTATATAGATGTGTGTGTCTCTGTGAGTGTATGTGTGAGAGAGTGAATGTGTGTGTGTGTGTATTAAAATGACTTTGTTGTTGCGCCAAAAACCAAGCCAAGGCTTTTTCGCACATTTGCGCCAGCAAATGGACTGTTTGGACTTAGCTGCTGCTGCTTACTGATTGCTGCTGCTGCTGCTGCTGATACTGTGCGCTCTTTCTCTCCTACAGACGACCTTCACTTTCACACACAGAGAGCGCAAAAACAGCCGCCGCGGCCGTCAACGTTAGTTTCTGTTGAATGACTTTTTGCTGCTGCCCAATGCATATTCAAAATATATTAATTAGGCCAACAACTTGTTGTTTTTGTTGTTGCTGTTCCTTTCAGTTGGCACTCAAATTCGTTTCAATTAGAAATTCTCTAAATTACTATTAGCAACATCATTTTTCATGTACAAGGACAATTTTGTATTCCTTTTCATTTTTGCTTTTTGTTGTAATTGTAGGTGTTCATACAAGAGACGACACGACACAGTCGTCTCGTCGTGCAACAACAGCAGCAACAACAACATTTGCGCGGATACACACATTTTCACAAATCAAAAAAGCAAACGAATGTTGCCACACACACACACACATACATATACACACTAAAACCACCCATCCACCCACACACACAGTTGCTTTTCGAAAAAAAAGTCGCTCACACATAGCGCTTCTAATGTTCTTTAATATGGATTTTCCGCTCCAATCTGTTTGATTAAGCAATTAATTTATTAATATTTCAATACGATTTTGTTGTTATTGTTTCTATTGTTGTAGTGTCTGTGGTCATTGTTATGCCACACACACACACACAGGCAGACAGATACACGCGCTTACAACCAGGCACTTACACTTACATTCATGTATATTTATATATGTGTGAGTGTGCGTGTGTAGTTTACATTTTTACACTTGCTCTCGTTTTAGCTTTTTTCCCGCTGCCCGCACATTTTTGCCTAACGCTGTTGGCTCTTATTTTTACACTATTTTTTGCACATTTCCTTTTCAGCGTTTTGCTTGCAATTTGGAATTTTTCTTCTTTTTTCCTTTTCTCTTTTGGTTGCTTTACTTAGATTTTCCTGCACGCACGATTTCCAAAGTCCCGTTGCGTTCAAACGTTCTCGACAAACTGAAAGAACGGAAAGTGAAAAGCGCGCAGTAGCACCAGCACCAGCAGAAGCAGCAGTAGTAGCAGCAGCAGAAGAGCGGCAGGGTTGTTGCTGCACCCATCTGCGCCTCCTATGTAGTCGCCTGCTGTCCACACTGCGCTCTCTTCGGCTGGCAATCCGGGACGTACGCTCTCTCTCCGCGCCGGCGTGCTGCCACCTGGCGCAAGTGGTGGTCACTGTTGATGTTTCAGCTGCGACACAGTGGTAATGGATATAAATAAATTGCATAAAAAGTTATCAAGCTTTCCAATTATAACATTTTAACTTAGTATTTTTATCTGACGCAATGTCTGTATAACCTGTTGAAATTCTTAAGATTTGACAAGATAAATGTATAGTATGGAGGATATAAACAAATATCTGTGCTAGAGGGTATTTTTTAGTCGAGATAGACTTCTTGGTATATATTTCTCTAAGCTGAACAACAAAAGCATCTTATTCATGCAAATAAAATTTAACTAAACATTTATTTCAGTGCAGGGTGTTCTACAATTAACAGTTGGCATTTTGATCAAACTAGGTGGATAAAAACTATTTTCATGAGTTTAAAAAATATCACTGTTTCAATTAAATTATTAGGCTCCTGCCCCACATGGTACTGAGCATTTTTTAAAAAGTTTTAAAAATACCAAATGGTTAAGGTTTACATTTACATTAATTACATGAACTACTTTTGAGGCATTTGGTATTTTTTATGATGATTATTTTGCTTCAGTTGCGCCGGCGGCTGTTTCGTTAAATTGCTTGTGCCATTCCAGATTCTGCTTTGTCACGGATTCGCCACGCTTAGCTGCTTGCTTTCCACTGTAGATCATAATGCCACAGCCGATTACGGTCAAGCCAATCATAATATTTGCCAACCTAATACGCATTTTGTTGCGGCAGCGCTCCATTTCCTCCTGGCTGTAAAAATATCAAGGCAACCTTTTACATTTCTAACTGGATTTCATAACTTTTAATTACATACCCTACAAAGGCTGGCACATCAGCTACCGATTTGTATTTGCCATTCCACACCAAGAAACGTTTCTCCAAATCATTTGGCTGATGATGTTTAATAGATTGCTTCAAGGATTGCGTATTGGTGAACGTGCGTTGCATCAGCAAATTCGATGCGCGCTTACCCAAAGCGGCAATTAGCACGGACTTAGTTAGCATTCTAATAAATCAACCAGATTGACTTATTATGAATCCAAAATGGTTTCAATTGGAAATTCTATCGAAGTTGTGGAACTTTATGCAATATTCGTGACAACCAGAGTTGTCACTGTCTCTAACACACTTGTTGAACGTTGCCACTGCGGCGATAATTTGTGTGTTAGTGCGGCACGTCTATTCACGAAATTTTGAGCTTCAAACACAATAAATATGTTTTTAATTTATATAGTTCTATTTTAAAATGATTTTTAATGTTAAAAGCCGTTCAGTCAATATATTCAAATCTTATCTAATTTAACACATCAATTATCATTATAGTGATAAGGCACAACAGTAAGCAATATCGGATGGTATATGGAAATGCACATCACTGTATTCGACCATCGATAGTATTATCGATTGTATATACGGTTATACCGGCAAAGATTTATAAAGATGTTTTATAACGTTCTTAAACGAGCTATTCAAACACACGTAAAATATGTGAATAATTACCATATAGTGCGGCTCAGCAGCAGCTCCTCTGGTGGTGTCAAAGATGACATCAAAGACGCGCTAGATATTGAGGCGAATTTGTTTGAAAACTCAATGTTACAACACCAGCCAATAAACACGCGGGAGGCTTTACGCAAGCACAAACCAACATTAATCAGTAAACAAACGAGAGAGCCAAAGAAAAAGATAAATAAAGCTGAAGCTGAGGCTATAACAGCAACACCAGCAGTCAAAAAGACAGTTCCAGTTGCAACGTCAGTTAAGCGTACACCTACTCCGCTTATTAAAGACACCGAGTTGAATTTGGAGTTCATGCGGCTTACCTTGCAGGATCCGTTAATGAGCACCTTGCTGACAGAAGTGCGTTCACGCAAACGTCGCGACAAGAACAAACAGATCATTATCGAGGGCCGACGTCTCATACAGGAAGCACTTCAATCCGGCTTGAAAATGCTTTCCTTATTCTTTAGCCAAAAGGATCAATTGGCCTTGTTGCGGGAACATGTGGCGCAGGCTCAGCAAAACGACAACACGCAAATCTACAAAGTGCCCCAGCATGATCTAAAAACATGGTCTGCGCTGGTAACACCACCTGGACTTCTGGCAATATTCGAACGCCCATCTTCGCAAGGTCTACAACAGCAGCAGGACAAAGATCCGTTACCCATTACAGTGGTCTGCGACAATATACGTGAACCCAACAACTTGGGCAGTATAATAAGGACCTGTGCTGCTTTGCCCTGTAGTCAGGTGGTCGTCACACACGGTTGCTGTGATCCCTGGGAATCAAAGGCGTTGCGCGGTGGCTGTGGCGGTCAATTCCGTTTGCCCATACATGACGATGTTACCTGGGAGCAGCTGCCACTACACATACCTCCGGAGATGGCCGATGATTGTCATGTCTTCATTGCCGAGAACAACCCAGAAAGGCCAGCGAATCTTGCACGCACGTCTGTAGACTATGCAGAAGTGGATCAGACAGGCGCACACAACATCCTCATTATTGGCGGCGAGAGTCACGGAGTTAGCGACGATGCTTACAAGTAAACATTCTATAAGATCGATTTTAATATATATACTACTAATGAATACCGTCTTCTAGATTCATGAAACTGGTGGGCAGCAGGGGCAAGTGCGTCTATATTCCTCTGGCAGCGGGCATTGACAGTCTAAATGTCGCATCCGCACTTACTTTAATATTATTTGAGCTACGCAAGAAACTAATCAATAAAACGCATAATTTGCAAGATTAGTTCAAATAGGTATACAATAATATTGATATAGGTTTATGTCAAAATATAAAGTCTATTTAACCAAACAGATTCTATACTTTAACATTCTTTATTTCGTTTGTTATTTTCTATATTAAATCCCTTTTGTTAATAACTTTGACATACTTCAAATTTATTGCTAAATTTTTTCACTTATTCGTTTTTATAAAATTATTAAAATTCAACTATTAGCTTCGATTTCCTTGTAAACCTCACGTTTATATTCATCTAGGCCGCCCTCAATAGCGCGCACCGTACGATTACCACAAACCCACAATTCCTTGCAGACGACTTTAATTAAACGTTCGTCGTGAGAGACCAGAATGACTCCACCCTAAAAATTAAAAGAGAATTCAATATATTATTAATTATATATATGATATTCAGTTTAAGCTCTTGCCTTAAATGCATTTATGGCTTTGCCCAACGCATCGATTGTTTCAATGTCCAAATGATTCGTCGGTTCATCAAGTACCAAGAAATTTGGTTCCGCTGCGTAAAAAAACGTATTTAATAATGTGAATGGTAGCAAGTGAATATATTAGAACATACCCATGCACATTTTTGCTAAGGCCACGCGTGATTTCTGACCACCAGACAAGCTGGCAATGCTTTGCAGAGCCAGTGGACCCGAAATACCAAAGCTACCCAATTGACGACGATACTCCTCATCTGGCCGCCCAGGGAATAGCTCCGCCAGCACACCCACACAGGTGACATTCATATTCAAATGGTCAACGTGATGCTGAGCAAAGTAGCCTATGCGCAGACCGCGATGCAGCACAATGTTGCCATAGATGGTGCTCAGTTGGCCAACAATAATCTTAAGCAACGTCGATTTACCCGCTCCGTTCTCGCCTACAATGCAAATACGGGAATCCGAAGTGGCTGATAGATTAACGCCCTTGAAGATGGGCAACGGATCCGTGGGATTGTAGCGGAATGAGACCTCTGAGATGGCCAGAACGGGCGGATTAAGCGGCTCCACTTCGGGAAATTTGAGCGTAACAATTGTCTCCTTCTCTACAGGCTTGAGCTCCGGCCTACGGTGTTAATTATTACATGTGTTTAAATCAGCTTGAAATTAGGATAAGAGTTCTACCTACAGCTTCTCTAACATCTTGATTTTGGACTGAACAGATGACGCCCGGTTCGCATTGTATCGGAAGCGGTCAATAAACTCTTGTACATGAGCCCTGTGCGCAAGTTGGGCCTCGTATTCGCGTCTCTGGGACTTAAGCTTTTCCGTCTTGGTCTTCTCAAACTGCTCATAATTGCCCCTGTAAAGATTTTTAAAAGTAGAATCTTGTGCGGTCGGTGCAGTCGTCATGTGTACTCACTTGTATGCCTCCAGCTCCTGGGAATGTAGATGAATGATGTCCGTTGGGACCGTATCGAGAAAGTTGCGATCGTGAGATACCACCAAAATGGTTGTTGGCCATGTTTGCAAGTAAGTCTCTAGCCAAATGATGGCTTTGATGTCCAACATGTTCGTCGGCTCATCGAGAAGTAGCAGATCCGGTTTGGAGAACAGCGCTCGAGCCAGAGCCAAACGCATACGCCAACCACCTGAGAATGATTTAGTCGGCCTCAGTTGCATGTCTGCATCGAAGCCCAGACCCTTAAGTATCACAGAAGCACGTGCCACAGCCTTGTCCGCCTCAATATTCTGCAATGCGGCATATGTTTCACTTAGTTCGCTCGACAGCGTCGTATCTTGGATTCCGCTGTTTAAAGCCGACAGAATTTCTTTCTCCCTTGTCAACAGACGCGTACGCTCCGTATCACATTCAAGGACACTTTCCACAGCCGATGTATCATCGCCCACTACCTCTTGTTCCACATGCAGCACAGAAATGTGCGACGGAATTTGCAACTGACGCTCAGCTATCATGCGCAACAGCGTTGTCTTGCCAAGTCCATTGCGACCAACCAAGCCATAGCGACGACCAAAGGATAACAACAAGTTCGCATTCTGCAGAAGAACTCTGTAAAAGATTAACCCGGTCAATATTATGAGAAATATATGAGATTTCGATTTGTGTGTCAACTTACTTCTCACCAAAAGCCAGGTCAAAGTTTTCAATTTTAATGTCCATGGATCGGTTGAGGCCCTTCTGATCCAGTTTGGTGTTCTTTTTGTTTGTCACCTGAGAAGCAGTGGCCGTTTGCAGTTTAACCGCCACCGGTACAACCCCAAGTTTAGTCACTTCCTGACGTTTCTCTTGTTTCTGCATCAACTTAGCTTCCGCTTTCTCCAACTTCTTAGAGTCTACTTTCTGTAATTGTGAAATTAGCCTTAACCCTGTCGTTATACCGCAGAAGGTTTACTCACATTAGCACCATCTTTGTTGACCACCCAAATACTATGCATTTCCTTATCCATGCGCTCCATATTCTTGGCCATCTCCTCAATGTTAACCGGCGCATTAAGCACTTTACGCTCGACATTCTTCGAGTTATTCTTCATGATACTGAAAAACTCGTCACAAAGCCCACGTATATTCTCCTCAGACCTTTCGCCATCAATGCCTTGGAGTATGTCGCCGACAGCATCGAAGATGTCATCGCACGTATCGAAATCTTCTTCACTGCCTGTTAGGACGCCCTCTACATAGTCCTTCATCTCATTGTCTATAGCCGGAAACTCACGTTGCAAAATAATTGCGTATTGACTCATCCTGTCGGTGTTGCTTGTTGCTGCTGTACACTTGACCTTGATCGCGCAATCCAATATTGGTTCCTGCACAATGGGACACACTAGCACTGGCCTAATTTAAATAAATTGATTATTATTATTATTTGATTAAGCACAGCCCCAATGTGTTGGTCGTTCATCAACGTGCCAACAAAAAAGAAACCCCAATCAGGGTTGCTCCAACTAATTCGATGCATCGATATCTTAAGTTATCAGAGCTTTGCTATCGAATGAAGCACTATCGATATAAGATAACATCAACGGCCTTTTAAAAGATCAAAGGGAATTTCGCCTGTTAATGAAAATATATATATTTTACTTTCAAATTTGTGTTCGAAGTTGATAACAATTTTTTTTAAATATACATGATATAAAACTAATCGCGCATTGAGTGTACTACTTGTATTGCTCAAGTAGATTGATAAGCAGCCATAACATAATACATAATAATTTAAAATAACAATGCTAAACGCTATTAAAAAGAGGGCCTTGGTTTTTGTAAAACAATAATAAATGGAAATGCATATGTAAAACAATTTTAAAAAGCATAAGTAATTTGTCTATAAAGATGGACCGTACTCATAGGCATACATGTGTATAAGTGTATAAATAATTGCAATAATCATAATAATCATACAAGTATAAATAATTGCATTAATCATAATAAAAATCGTACGTAATGTTAAGTTGCTCAAGAAGTTGTTCATAACAATTTACAAACTAGAATTACTACTATCACCGTTTTATGCGCTTTACAACTTACAAACTAAGGCTAAATTATGTATTATCTTTTTCTTTTATATAAATAGTACGCAATGCCTCTAAAGTCGATATTTATATACATGGCTACACATATTAGCATCCACTAGGCGCACGGCGTTGCCGAGATGCTGCTGTTGCCGCCGTTACTGCTGTTGCAGTTGGTTTTGCGTTGTCGGGCGCCGCGTCCACTTAGCAAGTAGGACAAATCGATTGGCTGCTCCTGCGCCGTCTGCGCATCCAGGCATTTGAGCTTCATGGTATTCAGAACATTTTCCAAGCGTGATCGCTTCTTCTTTAGCACCTACATATGGAATACAGTTTGAGTATAAATATGGCAATTATTATCTTTCAATACTAACCTGTCCATTGGGAGCGACTGGCGTTAACACTTTTACAGCGTTTTCTGTGGCTGCAGCCGATACACCGGTTGCTGATCCTGTCTGCCCAGCGTGTGCGTTTCGCTGCTTCCTGTTTCCCGTTGCTTGGCCTGCTTTCTGTTCCTGTCTGCTCATTTTTATGGATGTTGCTCCTACTTCTAAATCAGTCTTTTGCTTCCTCGACTTTAACAACGATGGGTCCACATCATGTGGCTGCAAATGAATTTTATTGTTGAACTCTGTGCAATTAAAATTATTTTGTCTAATTTACTTACAGCATAGCTCTTTGAGATCTTGAGTTTCTCCGGAAACTTTCTAAACGCGTAGCTCTTAGTGCACGCCGGATGATTCGCCTTGGCCTTGGAAAAGAAACGCGCAGTTTTGTCCACGCGCAGCTCACATATGTAGCAATGATCCTCGTCGTTACACTCCATGGGGCGACCTTTGCAGAATGTTGTGCGGTCCAACACCCAACAGCGCCCAATCACTAGCTCGATGGGTACCACTTCGTACAGCGAGACACGGACTACCTCATTGGGATAGAAGCGACGAGAGGGTTCATGAAAAGTCTCATGAGGACGCAAAAAGTGATGGCCAAAAATGAAACGTTTGCCGGCCTCGTTCTTCCACAAATGCTCAACGCGAAAGATGTCACACTCTTGATAATCAATTGCTCCAATCGTCTCGTACGTATGCTTCTGACTGGGTAGCACCTTGCCTGTCTCATCCTTGATGGGTATATCACGCAGCACATAAACCGCGTCGCCCTGCCGCACCTGAAGCTCGCCACGCATTAGCGATAGATAGTAACGGTGGCCCTCCTCCGTGTACTCATCCAGTGGTATTTCGCGATCCACCTCACGCGGCTCGCACCGTTCGCACTGATAGTTTTCCGCATCGATGTCTGCTTTGGTACACTCGGTATGCTGCCAGACCATGCATTTGGCACACTGTATCATTAGACCCTCGTCTTTGTACAGACCACATATACAACGTATGACATCTTCCTCGTCCGTCGGAGGCTGCTCCGGAGCAACAGCAACAGCATTAGTTTCTGTTTCTTCTTTTTTATTCTGCTGCTTGTGATCCTCTGAGTGAGCTTCGTTGGCCTTTTCCACTATCTCCTGCTTGGGCTTAAAACTTTGCAGTCCTTCTGGTTTGCCAAGTATGTCCAGGAGCTGTGCATAGTTGGCCGCCTTCTGCTGCTTGTAGCTTTCCAGCAGCGTTTGCAACGCTTTGGACTTGGCCTCATCGTCGCCGTGCAGCTGACGCGCCTCTGTGAAAAGCTGCTGCATCTGCTCATCATATGCCTGCGGTGTCTTATAATGTCCCTGTTCCACTTGGGCTTGAATTGTCTTAAAATCGAGACGCGCAGTTTTGAGCTGCTTCTTTTTCTTGCTACTGGCCAATGAGGAGAGCAACTCAGACATTTTGGGAGATTCAAGTGCTGTGCATATGTCTCGCAATACTACCGCCATTTTGGCCATCTTCTCCAGCTCCGGATCTTGTACGGCTTGCGTTAAGCCACGTGTTTTCATGTTGCGCGGCGTGCAGAGTGCAGAAATTTGTGCAGCCAGCAGTGAAGTTGATGAAGGCGTCGATGGACGACGACCAGGCAAGTCAGACTCACCAGCAACTGGTGAACCAGCAGCCCGTGCCTTTGCCGCAGCGCGTTTAGCTTTACAACGACGAATCTGTGAATGATAAGACAGGTTAAAAGAATTGTTTTGATTACAAAGAGTAAGTTGTTTACCTTCTCGAAGTTGCGCACCAGAAAGATATTACACTGCTTGACTAGCTTCTTTTCCTTTTCGGAGAGCTGCTGCACTCGAGCCACTACCATTGCCTCCTTGGCTGCCTGCTGCTGGCGCTGAGCATTCTTCTTGGCTTTGTGCTTGCGCTGTCGCCCATTTCGATTCCCGTTCGCTTCCTTAGCCCCAGTGCTTGCACTCTCCATACCTGCAGTCGTCTTCTGTTCTGCTGGTAGCGGTTTAATGCGTTGCGATTTGCCGCCAATCACACCACGACACTGCGGCATATTGCACCGACACGGTTGACCCTCGGAGGGATTGAAAAGTGAGAAATTGTAATCGTAGGTGAGCTCCTCGCCCTGCTCAATGGCTCGCTTGGCGAATAGCACCATGCGCGACAAGCCATTCACGCTCCACTTCTGCATCTCGCAATTGGGCTCGCATGAGTGATTCACGAAGCGACAGTCGCTGCCCATGCGCTGGCCATCAATGACCAAGCCGCCATCCAGATGCAGACAGTAGTGATGAGTATCGTTCAGATAAATGCTTGCCATGCGCTGCTTAAACTCCCGCTCGGTGACTACTTCGCCCACGTACTCCAGTATGTAGGTGCCTTTGGCAATGGGCAACTTGGTGCGGACGCCCCAGCCCTTGTCGGTGGTCATAAAACGCTCCACTCCAGGTGCCACTTCATGACGTTGGATCTTCTGATTCCGACATTTATCGCCCGCTGGACAATTGTTGGGCACACACTCCGTATACACCATGCGATTCAGGCAATTGTCCAGGCAGGCACCATTCGGTTGTGGTTTGCAATTGCAAATGGGATGATCGAAGCCAGCGAGATTGGGACGCACCGACTCCGCATAGACATTGGTACGTATTTTGCGATAGTTCCAACTGGGCACCACATGCCTCGTCGGCAGCTTATCATGGCTATAAGCCCACCAAATATCATAAGGCAATTCAAAGTCGACGATTGTGCGTCTAAAATACCGTTCACAATAGTTGGGCGCTGGCAGCAACGAGCTGCCCATCTGTTGCTGCACTTGCTGCTGTTGCTCCCCATCTGCAGTTTTCCTATTTGGCGGCTTGACAGCGACGGATGCGACGGGCGTCGTTGCCGCACCACCAACTAGGACTTGTTTGTAGTGATTGGAGAAGAGTCCTGCCACCAAAAAGTTCTTCTTGAGTTTATAGCGTTTACGCTGCGATGCAGTGCTGCATTTATCCTCGCTGGTATCACTGCAGCTGGCATAGTCGGTGGCCAAACTGGACGTGGACTCATGCGCCGGCAATGGTTCATGCTCAATGGCTGGCACTGGTTGCTGATTGCGTTTGAGTGCCGCTTCAGCTTCAATCTGCACTTGATCATCGCATGTGGGAGGCTCTACATGCAACCGCTGCTGCTGCTGCTGCTGTTGCTGTGGCTGTGGCTGCTGTTGCTGTGGCTGCACCTGTTCCTGTCGTTTTACTAACTCCTGTTGCTGCATGGTTTTGCGTCGCTTCAAGCGTATTTTACAACTAAAATTCGTATTGGGATCAATGCCTGCTGGCAGTTTAATGCTAGGCTCCAGCTTCCGCTCTAATCTCGGCAGCACCACTTCCGGCTGTTTGGCAGCGCGTCCGCGCTTTTTCGTTGGTTGCAATTCCAACAGCTGGTCTACCGGTTGCTGCTGCTGCGACTGTTGCTGTGGCAGTTGCTTTTGCAATCTAGGTCTGCCTCTGCCGCGTGGCTTGCCTCTGGCTGTGGGCCCACTATTCGCTGGCGTTTGTGGTCGTTGTAAGCGTTCCAATGCCACCACTGACAAACGAGGCGTGCGCTGATTATTGCTGCGAGCCACAAATGTTTCCCTAGCCTCGCCTGGCTGCGGCACACGCTCGCAATCCATTGTTACAGCTGCAAGGGTGCTGCTGCTACGTGTTTCGCGAGCGGGCAATAGTTGCTGCTGCTCCAGTTGCTGCTGCTGCTGCTGTTGTTGCTGTTGCTGCTGCTGTACAATTGCTGTCTGCTCAACGCTCACCTTACGTTTTTTGCGCCTCACGGTGGGGAAGCCGGTGCGATTGATCTTCTTGCGCTTACGCTTGAGCAACAAATTGCCGCCAGTCTTGTGCAGCAGCGTTTCCAATACACGTTGACACTGCTCCTTCTTGTTGGCATCGTCTTTGATGTCCATTGCGGCAAGCAGGGGCGATTCGACTTCCGACTTTGTGATAACCGCCTCATTTAGCTTGGCTATGGGTATTTGTATTTCCAGTTCCACGGACGGTTCAAAGATGCCTGGCGGCGGGCAGCTATTGCTGCCTGCTGGCGACTGTAGCTGCTGTGGCAGCTCACGCGCAACTGTGCCTGCAAGCACCGCCGTGGAGTTCTTTGACTTGGTTCCCTGGCGACGCTGCTGCTTGAGGGAGCACAGTGAGCTGGGGCTTATGTCAAGCAACTTGCCTCCACTTATGGAATTGTTGTCAACGACAATGCGCAATGGAGAAGCGTTGCCAGCTGCAGAGGACCCGCTTCCGCTAGCTTCTTGGCTGACCAGTAAATGTCGCTTTTTGGGCGTTAACTTCTTGGCATTGAACTGCGCCTGGGATTTGGTATTGGCGCTGGTCTTGGCCGCAGCTGCAGCAGCAGCCCAAGCTTCGGCATTCAACTTGCCATTGCTGGCAAACGCTGTCGTCACCTCGGCACCAGTTGTGACCAGATAATGACGCTTCTTCAGCGGCAGTTTATGATCGTCTGGACTAGAGCTGTTGCTGCCGCCGCTGTTGCTGCTCGACTTCTTATGGCGGCGCTTAGCACCACCATTGCTGCTGCTGCTGTTATTGCTGATGCCATTCGTATTGCCAGCGCTGGCCGAGAGCATGGCAAAGTCCATTAGTGGCTCGCTCAGTTTACGCTTCTTGAGTGCCCGTTTAAGCGGCTTGGAGGCTGCCGCTCCAGCAGTGTTGCTGTTGCCGCTGCCGCCACCATTTAGCAGCGGCAACGTGGATGCAATAGGTGCCGCCAGCGTGGCCTGCAGCTTATTCGCCTCGGCAAGCAATTTCTCCTTGCCGCTGCTGGCTGTCAAGCGATCTTCCTGAATGCGACAACGAGCATGAAATGTACTTGCAATGATGTCAATCTCGGTTAGCAGCTTGGAGTCAATGTTGAGCGATTTCGCATGACTCATGCTCTTCCTACGTTGCCGTCGACGCATCCGTGAGACACCGGACACATAACTACTGCACATGCTAGCAGCAGACGAGCGTCGACTTTTGATCTTGCACGCGCTCTTGCTGGGCACAATTGTATCCTGGCTAATAGAGTGCTTGCGTTGCAGCAACATTTTACCTGGAAAATAAAATAAATTTCGTAAAATATATATATTTTTATCTTAGCTACTATACGCACCCTGTATAAAGTTTTCTGCCGTTGTTGTGGTCGCTATAGCTGTGCTGGCTCCTGCAGCTGTGCCGCCAGTGGTTGTCTTTGCTGCGCCACTGAAATATTGACCAGTTGCCACAAATCGATTGATTTCACCATATTTCTTACTGGCACTTGTGCTGGGCAAACACTTGAGACTTGGTTTGCTAATGTACTCATTGCTCTCCTCGCTGCTATGGCCGAGTGAGAGTCCTGCCAGCTGCAATATATCCTGATCGTGTTCATCGCTTAGCGCATTCGATGTCTGCTCATGGCCGCTTCTCAGCATTGAGGCGCGTCTGCGTCGACGCAGCGATTTGCTCGATTTACCAGATGATTCCTTGCAGTCGCTGCGATAGCCGCAGCTCTTGGCGCGACTCATGCGCCGACTAGCACAGCTGCGACTGCTGTAGCGACTCTTGCAGCTGGCATCGGATTTGTAGCCCGAATTGTGATTGTGCCGCTGATGCCGCACGCTGCCGTAGTCCGAAACGTAGCCGCTTTTGGCTGCGAGGATTTTGCTGCAAATGGTGTTTGAGGTGCCACCAGCGCCGCCTCCGCCATCGCTTTTGTAGCCGCTAACGCTGCGTAACCGAAACTTTTTATTCACATCGATCTTGCGCCAAAGTGGATCCACCTGCACCTCCTCCTTGTTGGCCTTCTTGTTACCCTGGCGTCGCTTGCTGCGCGGCGGTGGATACAACACACGTTCCGCTGTTGCATACATGCGCTTGTCCAGATAGGCCATATCTATTTTAGGCTTGGCAATGTCGCTAGCCAGCACCTGCTGCATTTTGGGCGACGGTGTGGTGCTGATGACACCCGAGTCTGCTGACTCATTAATGGTGGGCATAGCGACGGGCAGGGGAGCAACGCTGGCGGCAACAGTTGGTTGCAGCTTCTTGGGGCGACCGCGTCGCTTACGTTGCTGTTGCAGCTGCTGTGTGTTGTTGCTACTGCTGCTAACAGATGCAGACGCAGATGCAGATGCTGCGGTTGCCCGCGTTGATGCATTTGCTAAACTGTTGGTGCTGCCGGTGTGATTTAACATTTGTGTCTTCTCCATAAAGTCCTGCAGCAGCGTGGACTGGTATTGCGGCAGATGTTGCTTGATCTTGGCAGCAGCTGCGCCTGCTGCAATGCTGCTATTGTCCTCTGCATCGCTTTCGACGCGCTTAATAGCCGCCGTGACCAAGTCCGCTGCTTTGACCAGCTCCTCGTTATCGCTACTGGATATGCCCATGTGATTGTCGCCCTGACTGCCACCAATGGCTGTTAATAGCAACCGAGGCGCAAGCTGAATGTGCATCTTCAAAGGCAAATCATCTTCAGAATCGGACGTAAATACAGCCGCAGGCGTGCGACTCGCTTTACCGTTGTTATTGTTATTATTATTATTGGTGATGTTGTTGGCGCAGCTCTTTTGGGCAATTTTCTTACGTTTGACTTTAATCTTTTTGGTTGTGTTTACAGTTGATAAGACTTTATCTTTCTCCCTCTCTTTGTCTCTATGCCTGTCCTTGGCATCCGTTGAGCAGACGCTCAATTCCTGAGCCTCGCTCATTTTACGCACCTTTGTCAGCTTTTTACGGGAAATATTCTCAACTGTTGATGCTTCCTTTCTAGCTGTTGAGCTTGTTAAACTTGTTGCTGTTGCTGTTGTCGTTGTTGCTTGTGTTGAAGGCGGGTTCCTTATGGCCGAGATTTTCATGCGCAGTCCATCAGTATCCGAACGTTGCACGCTAAATTGTGTTGCTGATTTCGTAGACTTCGATTGACTTGACTGATCCGTAATAGAGTCGGTTTCCTGAAATATCCATAGTTTGTTAATTATTTCGTATTAAACGGAAATAAAATTGCGACTACATAACATAATACTAATATAATATATATAAAACAAACCAAATATGTAAAAAAAAAATTAATAAAGAAATGAAAATAAAAATTAATTAATTTTAAATCAGCTTTGGGTTGACTATTGGGGTTAGCTTGTTTAGAGAGATATGTGAAAGCGCACATTAATTAATTATTAATAATAATGCTTTAATGGGGGTTTTGTACTGCTGAAGCAAGAGCTAAGCAGGATTGTATGCAAATATTTATGAATTATTGAATTGCTGCGTAGTTTAGCAGTCGAAGTTTCTAAAGCATTTTGTGAGCTGATCAATGATATTCGAATTCCAATCAGTCGGAGAAGCTTAGTACTTTTTAGATGATTAATACTTAACAATTTTATCGTACACTCATAATAACAAAAAGTGTTTTATTTATTATATATATTTATATATATATTTGTCTGCGGCTTACCTCATTTTCACTGCCGGATTCTTGTGTACGTTGCTGCGTTTCGAGAACCTTTTCCTTTTTTGCTGCTGCTGATGCCTCATTTTGGCCACTGCTCATATTTCGACTCGAGGGCGGAGCTATTCATATATGTGGTAAAATAACAAAACTTTATTAGCCTGGTCACATTAATTACAGCACGTTCAGAATTTTTGACAATTAAACTAGGTCAAACCACGAAACGCGACAGACACTCACGCACACACAAACAAACATTCAAGGCAGAGGGGGCGGGCGGAAACACCACACACACATTCACACACATGTACACACACTTACGTTTTGTAATTTTTTTGTAGCGTTAATTGATTATGCACACCGATAATGAAATTGTTATTTGAGCATATGCATATGCTTTTTGCGCCTTTAATTGCATTGCATTCAAGTTTTGCTTGCTGCTTTTGCTGCTGGCTTTGTTTTGTTTCTTAAAATGGCGCCGTTTTCACCCTGCAGTCTCGCGTTGAATTTTCACTGCTGCTGCTTTGTTCCAAAGGTGCGACGCGACATGCTTCAATGCACTTAAAACTTAATTGCTAATAATATTAAACACTTGCACTGGCTTTTAATAGTTAATGGCATTACGTTTGCAATATTTTGCATGCTATAATCTATAATTTCAATAATAAAACAAAAAAGCCACAAGGTATGAACATAAATAAAGAAAAGAAACTACGAATTAGGGATGTGAAACGAAGCGATGTTTTTGTATGATTCGATTAATTAGCATATGGAACTATTCGATTACAGTTTGTAGTGTAATGCCTTTACCAACACTGCATTTAGATATAATTTGTTTAACGTACAGCATAAAACGCAACAACCACCAGTTTTAATTTAATCAAATAAATATATCAGCTACTGCTTATTTTCATATGAACTCTAATATTTTACCGGTTATGTTCTAAAATGTATCGAAATAAGTTTTAGTTCGATAGGTCAATATGTATCATCAAAGTAATCGACTATCGCATTAGTGTTCCACCTCTACCCATCGCAAGAGGAAGAGATATACTGTTGCTGGGTGAAAAATCTTTGTTTATTTATTAAAATGAGTAATAAATCGTCAAAAACTAGTAGTGCTGCAAGCAGCATGTTGTATGGGTCCAGCATATCTGCCGAATCAATGAAAGTGATTGCAGAAAGCATCGGTGTGGGCTCCCTTTCCGATGACGCCGCCAAAGAGCTTGCCGAAGATGTTTCCATTAAGCTGAAGCGCATAGTGCAGGATGCCGCTAAATTCATGCACCATGCCAAGCGGCAGAAACTGTCAGTCAAAGATATTGATATGTCGCTAAAGGTGCGGAACATTGAGCCACAATATGGATTTATGACCAAGGACTTTATACCCTTCCGGTTCGCCTCCGGAGGCGGTCGCGAGTTACATTTCACAGAGGACAAGGAGATTGATTTAAGCGAGATAACTGCGAATAACTCGATTAAGATACCACTAGATCTGACATTGCGATCCCATTGGTTCGTAGTGGAGGGCATACAGCCCACTGTGCCGGAAAATCCGCCACCCCTCTCCAAAGACTCGCAATTCCTGGACTCTGTTAATCCTGTTATCAAACTAGATCAAGGGCTTAACAAAGATGCCGCTGGAAAACCAACCACTGGCAAAATGCATAAACTTAAGAATGTGGAAACAATCCACGTCAAACAGCTGGCCACGCATGAGCTGTCCGTGGAACAGCAGCTGTACTACAAAGAGATCACAGAAGCCTGCGTCGGATCGGATGAGCCTCGCCGCGCTGAGGCGCTGCAGTCGCTCGGCTCTGATCCCGGTCTACATGAAATGCTGCCCCGCATGTGCACCTTCATTGCCGAGGGCGTTAAAGTCAATGTTGTTCAAAATAATTTAGCTCTTTTGATTTATTTGATGCGCATGGTGCGCGCCCTGCTTGACAATCCATCGCTCTTCCTAGAGAAATATGTAAGCTAATGCAGTAATTTCCCTAGGGTAGGCAAATTTTAACTTTACACTTTTTTTAGCTGCATGAGTTGATACCATCTGTTATGACCTGCATTGTATCCAAGCAGCTGTGCATGCGGCCAGAGCTCGACAATCATTGGGCCTTGCGTGACTTCGCCTCGCGGCTCATGGCGCAAATCTGCAAAACCTTCAACACGCTCACAAATAATCTGCAAACGCGTGTTACGCGGTACGTGCCTGCAATATAATATTCATTTACATATAAAACATTCTTTCGTTTTCCTAATCCGTGCAGCATCTTTAGCAAAGCTCTGCAGAATGATAAAACGCATTTATCGTCGCTCTATGGCTCCATTGCGGGCCTCTCCGAGCTTGGCGGCGAGGTGATCAAAGTATTCATAATACCACGCTTGAAATTCATCTCGGAACGCATTGAGCCACATCTGCTGGGCACGTCAATGAGCAACACGGATAAAACAGCGGCTGGCCATATACGCGCTATGCTTCAGAAATGTTGCCCACCCATATTGAAGCAAATGCGTGGCGCACCGGACATTGCTGAGGAGTATAAAATCGACTTTGGCTTCCTGGGTCCTTCGCTGTGCCAAGCTGTGGTCAAGGTGCGCAATGCACCAGCCAATAGCACCGTAACGTTATCCTCCAACAGCATCAATACGGCGCCCATAACGAGCGCTGCTCAGACAGCAACAGCCATTGGACGCGTATCCATGCCCAATTCACAGAGACAAGGGTGAGAACAAGTTGCAAATATGTACATAATTTAGAGCATTGATTAGGAATCGATAATAGCAGATTAGGAATAAAATGTTTAGCTAATCATAAGCTATATATGTATTTAGCCAAGGCAAGTCAAGGCGTTGGCCTTGCATTCGATTGTAAAGCATTCAGTTTATAAGACAAATGTGACTGTTTAAATTTCCTGAAATATTTAACAAGGTTTTCTCCTTTGTTGTCTCTTTAGCAGCCCCGTGGTGGCCGCCCTACCGCAAATACGCGCCATTCAAGCCAACCAGCCGGCACAAAAGTTTGTGATTGTAACACAGAACTCGCCACAGCAGACGCAGGCGAAGGTGGTGCGCCGAGGCAGCTCGCCGCACAGTGTGGTGCTGTCATCATCTTCGGCGAATGGGGCCAATGCCTCCAATTCGAATTCATCATCAACGGGCAGCATTGGCCCTGGTGGTGGCAGCAGCGGCAGCGGCGGCGGCGGCAGTGGTGCAAATAGTTTGCTAACAGCGCGCAGCAATAATGATAATGTGTGTAGCAGTCCAGGGTACCTGCCAACTCCCTAAAAGTGATCCACTCTAATAATGCTGTTTATACGCATTTCAGAGCATCGTGGATGCCAATTCGTTGATCATTGAAACGGAAATAGTGCGCGCACCGCCCGAACTGGATGATTTATCGCATCTGGAGTAGCCTTATTCTTCTCACCCCAACACACACACGCACACACACAGATATATATATACATTAGTTATTTAAATACAATACTTAGTTAATAAACACAGCATTGACCCGCAAGCTACCCCTAAAACAATTATTTACAATTGTATCAGCCCCTACCACCGAGCCTACAACATGGCACGCATGCAACACGCATGTGCGGGCGCCACAGAGCTGGCTGACTATTGATTTTTAACCAAAGCACACAGAACAAAGCCAAACTCCTTGTACATACCAATTCAGTTCGCGTGTGTGTTGGACAAAGGCGAAAGCTCAGCCAAGGCAGCTAGCAAATTTTTCGTTATTTCTTGCGAAGCAATAAAATAGTAAAAGAAAAAACAGGTAAAAATGCACGCAAGATTTGCGGATCCAGAGCCCGCCTCGCCGGACAGCGTGGATAACATTGAAGAGGAAACGCTGGAGGCGCGCATCGAGCACTTCAAACAGAATCCCAATAATATGGCCATGCTGCACGAGTTCATCGATGAGGTGGCCCAGCGTGCCGAAACGGAGGCCAATAGACGTGCGCTCGAATCGCATAAATTGCAACAGGTTGGCTAATCATTTATTATCCGTTTTACAGCGAAAGTTTTGTACTGAAACACACACACACACATACATTGTCTCATCCACAGGGCAAGGAGAAGCGACAGAGTAAGTAGAACGTGGCCAAGCACCCGAAAGGAAATATTTCTAGCTTTTCTTTTACTTCTTCTGTTGCTATGGAAACTTAAAGTGTGCACGATCGTAGTCCGCCATGCATTTGCTTGTGTAGTAGACCTTTGCGCATGAGTCCTTGTAGGCTTTTTCTAGAAGAAAATTAAGAAAAAGAATTATTATTTAATGGGCTTTGTCTAGTTAAAGCAGAGCTAAGCAGTGGCTGACAGCAGTTCAAAGTTTCTGAGCGTTAAGAAGCTTTAAATATTTCTTTTTTTGCTTTATGATTCCTAAGAGACTTTTGCTTGAAAGCTTCTTCTAGCCTCAAATATTCAATGAACTTGAAATATTATGAACTTGAGCAGAGTTTGACAACATTTATGGACTATATATATATATATATAATTTTTTTTCCTTTATTCTTTTGTCTAATAGAACTTTGTATTTTTATTTAGACATCTTTTTTGCTATGGCCGATATTCTTTAGACTCCTTTCACATATTCTGCTAGATATATATAATAATTAAGTTCATATATTTTATAGTCAAAGCTATATAGACTTGGCTTTTCGAAGAATAAGTTTTCCTATTATTATAGAAAATATTATTATAAAGATCCTGTGCAACTACTAATGAAGCTTAGCTCAGCCTGAACCACTGACAGCAATGTTTATACACTGAACCCATTAAAAATGGGAATGCGGGCTTATCCCATAATTCCTGGAACAGCCTGTCTACTCACGTTCATCCCTGCAGTAGGTGAGCGCCTTTTGTGCGGGCTCCTGCAGCTCGGGTGGCAAAATGATGGGCATCTGGGCCATGGCCTTGTTCACACTGAAGTCTCCCTTTTTGGTCAGAGTGCCCGCCAGCTGGGCAACGCATTTCGTGTAGCACTAGAGAAAGGGAAAGTAAGGAACACTTAATAAATGTAGAGCAACGGCCAACGAGGTAGCCAGGAGATGTACGCAGGACACACCAGCAAATCTTGAGTGGGTTCCATGTCGAAGTCGCCTTCACGTATGCGATCCAGTATGTCCAGCGGCACCTTGAACTTGGGCACACAGCCGTTGCGCATCATGTCCAGCGATTGAAGAAACTGTTGCATGTTGACGCCGCCGCAGAGCTTGGGCGCCAGCAGCAGCAGGCTGAACAGCAGCAGCTGCCAGGATCTGTGCCAGCAACTGATAGAGTGATCGGGCCTCATCATAAGACGCAATTGTGTGGCATATGCCTGGCACGCTACTCTTTATAAGCTTGCCGCGTGGGCGTGCCAAGTCATAGTGACAGGCGGCAATTAAAAAAGCGACATGCGTGAAATCTAATTATTTAGTTTTGTATATTTTGTCAGTGGCATGTGAATGTGTTTGTTTACGTTGCACTTTTCTCGTCAGCCACTCACCGAACCCTTTAATTTTTTTTATTTTTCCACCTGTCCACCTTGGCACTAATCTCTCCAGGTTTCGCCATACCAGATTTTAAGAACGGCAAAGTCGTGAATCGCGCTCGTGGCTTTGTGGTGCGCATCTTTGATGCCATCTGCAATTGTGCCAACAACAATGCAGCAGCAGCTACAACACGCTTCAAGCTGCGCAGCAATGGGGGAGGCGGCGGCGGCGCAGCTAGTGCCCCAGCTGGTGGCAAGCGGCAGCAGTCGCACGACGAACCGGAGACCTTGATGCTCAGCAAGAAGAAGTCAACGGCGGAGGGCAAGAAGAAATCCAAGGGCGTCACCATGGCTGAGGATGTCGAAGCGGGCGTTCGACTCGTAGACTAAGATCTGGCCTTTATATCAGACAAAAGAAGAATCAAAAGTCCCTACCCCATTGAGTCCAATCAAAAAACCATGCCAGATCTAAATGGGCATAAAAGACCAAAAACAAAGTCTAGGCATTGATTGAAAATTGAGCAATTACTAATTACGAAATACGGTCACACTTAAACAATTTCAGTGCTGCCAATAGGAAACTATTTTATAGCAACAGCTCAAATCAAGCTTAACTCAAAATCAATTTCAGCAACAATTGAAAATCGAGCAATTACTGTTATACGCAAATAACGAAATAACTCAAATATTATTTAAAAAACTAAAAACAAACAACTTAACTCTACCTTGCTCAACACAAAATCGTTAAATGCACAATTTTAAGTCTTCCCCTTTGAATTCGAAATGGCAAAAAAACTTTAAGCAAAATACATTTAATTTTATATGAATGTGTCTAAGCCACATATTCTAAATGATTTCGTTAACCTAGATGTGATCCAAATTTAACAAAATATTAACTCGACTGCAAAAAAGAAAAGCACAAAAAACCACTTTTAGGTTAGAAAGAAAAAATCATTGATAAATGTAACTGAGAAAAGAAATCTCACTTCACATACTGTCCTCTAACTATCCAACTAACTCTAACACAATCAATGTAGGGTATTGCTTTAAGAACACCTTACGAACGAACAGAGCCGAACTCGAGCACACAATAACAGGCCTTTCAAAATCTCCACCTAATTATAACTTTACAAAATACATACATACATATACATATATATATATATATATACATTTATCTATATATATATATATCAATTGAATATCGATGCCCTAACATATTGTAGTTGTTTCTATCTATTTAGCTATGTGTGTGTGTATGTGTGTGTGTGTGTCTGTATTAGTAGTGAATGTTTCGATAAACATATACAAGCAAATAAATGTGTACTGATTTTATAGACATATATATATTTATATATATGTACTTACATGAAACTTAGATATATTTAGTTATTTACACCGCAATACCGAAGCAAACTTTCTACATCGGTTTCCACACGACACGCTCTATATTCATTGTATTTTTGTGAGAACCCCTTTTGGAGACTACTTTATAAACCTAAATCTATGTGCAAAAACCAAAAAAAAAAATAAAAACCAAACAATCAAAAACTATAAAAAATTCTATAAAATAGCTAAGATCCTTGAGAAAAACGAGTAATACGAAAAACCTGTAGGAATTCTGTTTTTCTGTTTCTTTTTTTGGCCTGCAATAAAAACAAAGTTTAAATATTTCTTTAGTTTAAGTCTTTGTGCGTTGCTTAACAAAAATATATATAAATATATGTGTAACATGTAATTAATAAATAAATACTGTTGTATTTAGTTAACAAAAAATATCAGCAATAAATTGTAACAATGTTTCCAAGGTGTTTAAGCGAGTTTCTATTGTTTTGAAAAGGGAGCATTAGGAAAAATGTAGATCAAATATTTAGTGCTAAATAGTCAATGTCTACTACGATAAAGATAGTTTTTTTTACATAATTTTTCAGCTAAAGATAGTGTATATAACTATTATGTTTGTGAACTTCAGCGCTTATCACATTTGGCAAAATGTTTTTGGACGTCTATAAACAATATTCAGAACTGTTATTTGCAACATTTATATATATAACTCGTTATCTTAATTCTATTTTACTAAGCTTGAGAAAGCCTTTGTTATATAGAGTTATTAACATAACGCCTTTAAATTAAATAGGGAGAGACAAAACTTTTTAATTTGTTAAAAAAGATATGTGTCTACATATAAAATATAGATGAAATAATTTTCTGGCTGCTCAATAAGAAAATTAAATTAGCTTAAAATATTTTCGATTTTCTCTTTTATTTACAACTATTAAAGTTCTCATTACGCCTTACTCTAAAACAATTACCAATAGCTTTCTCATTCTGTAGCTCTGGTGCATTCCCCATCAGTCAAAGGCTTCACTGTGCAACGTTCTAAATTTGTTTAAACTTCAATTGTCCCAACTATAAACATAATAAGCCAAATATTTGAAAGCTTCTATAATTTGCCAAGACTTAATGCATTTTCATGAGTTTTCTCTACGATTTATTCTTAACACTATTACTGAGCTTATTTTTTTTTAAATTTTTCTATGGTCAAATATTATATTAAATATATTCCGCTCTTTTTTTTTTAATTATGTCAAAGCAAAAGTAGCTCTCCAAATATGTTTAACTCTCAAATATGAGATTTTCGTGGAGAGATATTCAAGGCAGAAGTACTTCTAGAAGATCTAAAGCAAACGTAATGTTGAAGGTTTTGGTTAGTAAAAAACAATGTCAAATATATAAAACTTATAATATTAATTTAAATTTTAAAAAAATGTATGAAAGACAATTGACGTTAAAATATATTATTTGTCATATGTATATAAAATTTTAAAACTAATCGCATAAGCTTGGCTATTCGCTCTATATAATGCTGGAAGTAAAGAATATATGACAAGGGGAGGCCTTATCGTGTATTTATTCACGTCACTAGCTTTTCTTGTGGCCAAGTTTGTTAAGCACATCTTAGCCATATTATATACCTTCTGCCTTATTTTATATATTTATATGTATAATGTTACCACTGGAATCGATTATTTCCACTTGACCCTAAACATTCTATGACAATCTAAAATAATAATAAAAATTTCTAGCTTTCAGACTGCATAAGTAATGAGTGAGTTTAAGGCATTTACTAACTAATAACTAACTAATGTAATTAATCTCGGCAATGCTCAGCGTCTTCTTTACGACATTTTTTTCTCTCAGTCCGGTTTGAATGATTTATTGTTTATTTGATGCCCAACTGACACTGGGCTAGCATATAAGGCAATTGTAGATGTGGATGTAGAATTCAGCTGGCTATTTATATATCGTATAGTATCTTTGGTAACAGTTGAGCCCACTTCTATGGAATTAAAACCCGCCCAACCGCATCATTAGCAATGCACGGCACGTACACACGAGCTACATGGACAATGTCAGTTGGAACACTATTTTCGGATACGGATTATCTTCTAATATGGGTAGCTCTACGAACATGCAATAGAAACTAGGTCTAGCTTCAGCTCATAAGCATTAAAAGGGACCGGCATGCCAGAGCTACTGATAAAACTTATACATAAATATAAATATATATGTATATATATATTATAATATAAAAATGCCCATATTTTTATATATATATAAAGAAGCTAGCGCAGTGCGCTTCAGCTCTTGAAAGTTAGCTAACTAAAAAGTACGCGACTTGGATACATTATATAAGGAAAAAAATCTAAAAGTGTCAACGAGTTCAACTGCAAGGTGAACCATTGCAAGCAAAGCTGAGAGAGTGAGAGAGCGAGGCGTAAGGAGATAGAGAGAGATCTGCTTCATCGAGCGCACAAAAGCTCGATTGCTCGCAACGGAAGCGGCACGCGATAAAAATTTAAATTCCCATTTTGCAGTTGTGAGAAACATGTTTAGTTTTCGCATTCAGTTCTCAAGGCAAAGATGAAGTGTTTACAGCTCATTTTCGTAGCGCTGCTCAGCTTCAACTGCAGCCAGGCATTGTCCAAAAGTTACTCCACGGACTACACAGGTTTGTATATATATTCGCTGAGTAATTGCTATATAAATGCAAATCCTGTTTGCCTTTTTGCCGCAGATCTGTTGGATTTGGAGGATAATGATGAGTTCGTCTGGGGCGCTGCTGAGAATAAGCAATATAGTCGTACTAATGCCAGTGCTGAGCAGGCCAATGATAATGATAATGCCGGCATAACCAATTTTCTAGCACGTCATCGCTTAAGCAAGCGACAGGCAGACAACGCTGCCCCAATACTGGTGAGTTGCCTGACAATCTTCTCTACAACTTAGAGCTCACTTCAAGCCGGATTGGTTTGTAAATTAACATATTTACTCACTAGTCGATTGTCCCGCAAATGTAAATTACACGGTATACAATTTATATTGCTTAAGTGTTATGAAATTTGACTGTTGGAGCTGGAGTAATTAGTTAAGTGGCTCTAATGATGAGTGAAGCATTAGGAATCGTGCCTTAGCTAAAGCTGATTCGTAATCATTATGCTCAGCATTGTTATAAGTAGAAATAGCCTCATTATCATATACTGTGTGTTTTTATATATATGATTAACATTATCATAATCATGACAATCATAAGCACTAATTAACATAATCATCCTTTACATATAATATATCAAAATATTCTCATAGTTATCCATATCACCCTATTATTATTAACATAGAAATGCTCATTATCATTAAGAGCAACCTCCATAATAATTAACATAATCATTACAACATTAATTGTGTAATATAACATAATTTATATATATATTAATGTTTATTCTAAAATTATTATTCTTAAAAAATAATTTCAAAACAATTATTAATATTAGTACACTTTTTAAATATTTAAAAATTTAACAAAAAAAAACTGCTGCGCTGCGTCTGAACAGCAAAAAATTTGGAGCACGACTGAAGCAGCGCAGCAGCAGCCTCGCCCTTTTATAGCTGAGCGAGGCACTCAGAAGAAGTTGCCGCTCTTGAGTCTGCTTGGAGTGGGTGGCTGCAGGTAGCCACAAGTAAAAAGAGTATTGAGTGATTAGAGTGAAAAAATGGCACTGAACAGAGAGCATGTCTCGATGCACTCTGTTCTTTGCACAGATCAAGAGCAAATCGACCTGCAGCAGCCTGCTACAGACAAACAAACTCTTATTTTAAAGTTGGGGCAGACAAGTATGAATGCAGCTAGGCATGGCATTGGCAATAGACTTTCATTGGTTTTATATATATTCACAACGCAATGCCTCAATCTGTACAGGAAAACAAGGACTATGGTGCCTGTCGCACTTCGCTTGGCGATGAAGGACGCTGTCGCCACATAATTTACTGCCGCATGCCGGAGCTGAAGGATGATGTGTGGCGCTTGGTTGCACAGCTGTGTATAATCGAGAAAACGTAAGCGGCCATCTATATGGGTTGAACTCAACTTTACAATTCACTTCCTCTTGCAGTTCCATTGGCATTTGCTGCACAGATCAAGCGACCACATCACGTTTAAGTCCACAGGTTGTGAGCGGTTCCCCTGAGGAAACACCGCGCATTGTCAATCGTCCCGAGCGACGAGGCTGCGGCATTACAACACGTCAATTCCCAAGGATAACTGGCGGTCGTCCGGCGGAGTCGGATGAGTGGCCCTGGATGGCGGCTGTGCTGCGGCTGGGCTATAAAAATGTCTGGTGTGGTGGTGCATTGCTCACAGATCGCCATGTGCTAACAGCGGCCCACTGCCTTTACAAGTGCCCCAAGGAGGAGCTATTTGTGCGACTGGGCGAGTACAATACGCACGTATGTAACCAAGTGAGATTAGAGAATAACTAATTTAGTTAAATAAACCTTAGCAAATTAATGAGACGCGTGCGCGTGACTTCCGCATAAGTAACATGGTGCTCCATGTGGACTACAATCCCACAACATACACTAACGACATTGCCATCATACGCATTGAGAAGCCGACACTGTTCAACACATACATTTGGCCTATTTGTATGCCGCCACTGAATGAAGACTGGTCCGGACGCAATGCCATTGTCATGGGCTGGGGCACAAGCAAGTTAAATGGACCATACTCCAAAATACTTATGGAGGTGAAGCTGTCAACTACTGAAGTGTTTAGCCCAACATAATAATCGTGTTCATAACTTTATAGGCTACTATGCCGGTTTGGAAGCACTCGGAGTGCCAAGCTTCCTTTGTGGACCATATACCGGATACAGCCATTTGCGCTGGCTTTCCGGAGGGTGGGCAGGATAGCTGCCAGGGTGATAGCGGTGGTCCGTTGCTCATTCAGTTGCCTAATCAGCGCTGGGTCACCATTGGCATTGTATCGTGGGGCTTGGGCTGTGGCGAAGCAAACCGTCCAGGTGTCTACACGCGAGTGGATCGCTATCTGGAGTGGGTCATTTCCAATGCGGATATATGAAATGATGAACAATTAAGGACATGTACATTCAATTTAATTGGCATAAGATTAACAAATGCTTTGCTCTAAATACATATACCTATGTATATACTAATAAACCTGGCTAACATACGTCATATCTCAGTAGTACATATATGAACTCAGTGTGTGTTTGTCCCCCTTTTTGGCCCTCTCCCACGCTTAGCCTAACTTAGTGAATATGACTTAGGTGCTGGTCAGCTGCGCAGTGGCTGTGGCTGTGGCTGTGGCAGCCGTTGGTATCTTAGCGCGCATCGCCTCAGTTTTGCTGCTACTTTCGTTTTTCGTTGCCCCAAAGTCTGCGTCAGAGAAAGCAATCTTATAGACATCTTCGTATTCACTGGCAAAGTGTACTTCCAAGCCGTCGGTAATGAAGCTGGGCAGCTCCTCAAAGTCCTTCTTATTGTCAGCAGGCAGAATAAGGCACGTGACGCCGCTGCGACGGGCCTATGAAACGAAATATTAACTTTATTATTACGGCACAAGCATGTTATAATCGAACTTACCGCAATTGTCTTCTCCTTGATACCGCCCACAGTTAACACTTTACCCTTTAGTGAAACCTCACCCGTCATAGCTACGTCGGCACGGACTGGCTTTCCGGTAGCCAGTGAAACCAAAGCCGTGATAATAGTAACACCAGCGCTTGGTCCATCCTTGGGCGTTGATCCTTCAGGCACGTGCAGGTGAATGTGTCTGTCAAAAATATCGATCAGTTAAATCAGCCGTATGAACTTATGCTTAATATTATACTTACTCCTGCTCCAGGAACTTGTTGTTTGGATTATACGTGTACAAAAAGTTTCGGGCCACGGTCAGTGCAATTTGTGCGGATTCCTTCATTACATCGCCCAGGTTACCAGTTAAATGTAACAATCCAGCGGTGGCTTCGGGCTTCTCGGAGCGTATGTGACGCCTAGAAGTTTCAATGTATAGTGAAGAGCCGCCCATTGCAGTCCAGGCCAAGCCCATTACAACACCAGGTGGCGTTACGTTGTACATGCGATCGGAACTGAAAACCTGTTTGCCAAGGAACGTTGTCAAATTGTCGGCATTCACGGGGAATTCTTCACCCTCCTTCTTGACGAGGCGGAAGGCCACTTTGCGTATGACCTTCTCAATCTGCTTCTGCAGATTGCGCACACCAGATTCGCGGCAATAGCTGCGTATAAGCATGTTCAACGCATCCTCTGTTATGTTGATCTGCTTTTCCGTTAGGCCACAGTCTTTCATGGCCTGCGGTATCAGGTACTGGCGTGCAATGGCCACCTTCTCTTCTGCCACATATCCTGACATTTCGATAAGCTCCATGCGATCGCGCAGCGGTTCGGGTATGGTATCTATCACATTCGCCGTGCAGATGAATAGCACACGTGATAGATCAACGGGAACATCCAAATAATGGTCAAGGAAATTTGAGTTTTGTTCAGGATCCAGAAGCTCCAATAGTGCTGAGCTCGGATCACCTTGATAGCCCCTATTGAGCGAGAGATAAATATGAGAAAAAATGAATAGGTAATTGTTTACCCTAATCTTTGTTTGGTCTACTCACTTGCCAATCTTATCAACTTCATCGATAAGCACAAGCGGATTCTCCGTCTTGGTCTTCTTAAGGCACTGTATAAGCTTACCAGGCATGGCGCCCACATAGGTGCGACGATGACCCTTAATCTCTGCAACATCCGTCATTCCGCCAACGCTAAAGCGGAAATATTCGCGATTTAGGGCGCGTGCTATAGACTTTGCTATGCTCGTTTTGCCAACGCCTGGTGGTCCATGGAAACACAAGATTTTGCCCTGCGTGGTACCCTTTAGTGAGCTAACAGCAATAAATTCCAATATTCGTTTCTTAATGTCTTCCATGCCGTAGTGATCGTTGTTTAGAATTTCAGTCGCCTTGTCAAGGCATAGGTTTTCGGGACTAATGACGCCCCAAGGCAATGAGGTAAGCCAGTCTAAATAGTTACGAGTAACGCTATAAAAGATAAACATATATATTGCGCTGCTCTTGAATATCTATAGAGAGACTCACTTAAACTCTGAGCTGTGACTCTCTAAAAAGTTTAACTTCGTAAGCTCTTCGTCAATAACAGTTTTGATGCTCTCTGGTACAGTTTTGTCCTTGAGTTTTTCGCGATACTTTTCGCCAATGGCATCCTTATCATCTTTTTCAATACCCAGCTCCTTTTTGATTACCTTTAGCTGTTCCTGGAGTATATATTTGCGATGCTGCTGCTTGACTTTCTCTTCAACTTCGCGACCAATCTTTTGCTGCAAACGTGACAGCTCCAATTCCTTTTTAAGCAACGCCAATGCAAGCAAAAGACGTTGAGGTATCTAAATATAAAAAAGAAATAGTTAAGGTTGATCTCACTTATAATGCAGATAGTCAACAAGTGAACAGCTTACATCAGTTTCCTCCAAAATTTTTTGCAGTTCGCTTGGCTCACCAGCTGACAAGGAGGCGCCCAAATCACACAAATAAATGGGATTATCAACAACTCGCTGATTCTGATGCAGCATTTGTTGTAAGCTTTCTCTATAATAACAAAAATCGGCATGCCTATTAGGTAAATGAATTTGTATTATGCTTCTCGTGCAAAAAAAAGCTCGTGCTTGAAAAACAATATATATATATATATATATATATATATATATATATATATATATATATATATATATATATATATATATATATATATATATATGTATGTATGTATATATATATACATATAAGAAAATCTAAAATTGTTTACCAAAATTAACATTATATAACGCCTAAAAAATATCTTAAAGCAGCATTTAATTTATCGTCAGATGAAATACGACTATATTAGTTCATCAAAATCTTTCCACATACCTGTACAATGGGTTCATGGTAATAATATCGCGCAAGGTTTTTATAATTTCCTGTGTTAGAGCCTTGACTTCCTCCGTTTGCTTGTACATCGGCTGCTTAATATTCTCCACTTCCACAATGAGCACGGGTGGCGTTGTTGGGGCTGCGGTTGTTTCGTTACTGTTATCTGCAGTATCAGTCGAGGATGGTTTCCCTTCTTCGGTAGTCTTTTTCGTCGTTGCTGTCGTTTGCTCGACACGTCCACTGGGCAACGGTGGCTCCAGTGTTTGACGCTGGGCCATCTCCTCGGCGTTCGCCGCCTCATTTAATTTATGTGTTTGTCGTCGTGGAGCACGTCCTCGAGTTTTACGCATGCCCCGATTATTCGATTTTCCAGTTGTATTAGTGCCATCAGTTGATTGATCTTCAGCTGGGATGCGTAATTTTATATTAAAGAGTGGATAATGTAAAGTTGTCATTTTCACTGAGAGTTAAGAGACGACGCAGTTGTCACAATATGTGGGTAGTGTCAATATCTGGCACCTACCTGACTTCGATGGAACATCATCCACAACTTGTCCGGTTATCTTAATACGTCTATGAGCCACAACAACCATGCGTAACTTATCACCCAGATCTTGCAGTTCCTGAATCTGAGCGAAGGTTCCCACCGAATAGACATCGTCCAGATTGTGTATGAGCTCCTCTTCTCCGTCTGATTTCTTTAGAAACACGCCCACATAAGGTTGATTCAGCTTCACTTTACGACGTAAAAGATCCATTATAATTGGATTGGATACCTAAGAAAAATACAACTTTAGACATGAATAAAAGAGATTTATAGATAAGCAATCAACCTCGACAATCTTCATGAATCGCGGGAACAATGGATTTCTTCGCATTGCTAACATCGGCACGTGGGGCCATACATCGGGGACGGCAACGGTGGCCGGCAGTTGTTGCGCGTCACGATGATCGGCCAGAAGTTCTGGCTCGCCCTCGGCCATTAGGTCGTCTTCGTTATCATTCCGCTTTCGGCTGAAGAAGCGCTGTGTCTGCATCATTGAGACTGCGCCATTGAATCGGAGCAGTCTCACTTCATTAAAATATTCAACCATGCAATTTTGTGTATGACGATTACGAGCGCAGGCAGCTACAGTGGATAAGCCCCGAAGAACGGCGCGAACACGTACTGCACGTGAAAGCATTTTTACGATTATTTCTGTACACAAACGAACGGCAATTTATTTAAAAAAAACTGAAGCCGAAGCCGCAAAGAATTAAAGTGTAAAATGATTATGTGATAGCGCTGATGAAATGACAGCACCGCGCGACAAACTTGCTGCGAAGCAATCGATAGTGATATCGATATATAATAACTATCAATTATTTCGTTTATACGCTATTGTGGTAAACTGATTTATGTGCAGTTTTCAATGCATATTTTTCATTTTTAATAATCCCATTGTGTAATAATAATAATAATAATAATAATAAAAATTTAATATTCGATGTCAAATATTATTTTCATAACACACGCAATTTTTAATTATTGAAAGCACAACTAAATTACCCCAATTCATGGTAAACGCTTACATCTATCGATGTTTTAGTAATTTAACTCATCCTTACGAATTATCGAAGTGTCGAGCCGTCGTTAACAACACATCTATAGCAAAATCGAAAGTAAATAGAAAAATAGTTGCAATTTTTGCATATTCGGAGGACAAAATGGTATCGCGTTTCGATCAGCAAAAAACCAAACACCAGCTCTTCCATGTGTCACTCAGTTTGGCCACCATACTGATATGTATGACGTACATGCAATATCGGCGAAATTGGGCACATCTAGGAAGCTTTTGGGACTCACTAATTGTGCCGATTGTGTTTATTGGTGAACTGCTCAAAGTAACACTAGCCCGCTTCTTTGGGCGCATTGAGGACGGCGTGCTGACTACCAAACAGCGGCAAAAAAAGGCTGCATATTTCACGCCACGTGAATTGCTCGGCGGTCTAACGTTGCAATTTTTGTGCACACTGCTCTACGCTTTCATTTGCATTATTCTGGGTGCACCAGTGCTGGCCAACTACGAGCAGACGTTCGTGTTGTCCTTATTGATGACACTGCTCACAGTTTCACCAACTGTTTTCCTACTCGGCGGCGGTGGCGCTCTGCAAGTGTGCTTCTGTGAAAAGCCGGATTTTATTACCAAGTGTGAGGACACGGCGCTGCATTTGTTTAAGTACAATGCGCTGGGCGGCATTCTGGGCGCATGGGCTGGCAGTGTGGTAGCTCCGCTGGACTGGGGACGCGACTGGCAGGCCTATCCCATACCGAACGTGATTGGAGCCCTGCTGGGCAGCGCTCTAGGCAATATATATGCTTGTACGCATGTGTTGTATGCGTGTGGACGTGTGTATATGAGCAAGAAACGGGCTTAAGCCCAATAATGTAATCAATAAATCCTGCCACCAAAAAAGTTTACGTTGCGCTGCCATCACATCCACATCTAATGAAGCAAACCGCATCGTTGTCTAGTCAACAGCTTATGATTTACATACCGACATACATATACCAAAAAAGCAATTAATAATACTTTAATGTTACAAGTTTAAGCAATTTATTAGCATGTATAACTAATTCATTTTTAAATCAATCAACTAATAAACTAACAATTAACACAGCTTCGGCCACAAACCATTTATTTTTGTATGCGTCCGTCCCGATTCCAGCATACATTTAATATATATAAAAGACACTATACGAATAAAAACGAATACAAAAAGTCATGCAAAAGGAAGTATCTCAAAGACTTAAGTTCTCGTACTTGTATTATTGTATTAATTGTATTAACTCATGTAGATTAACAATCAATTTATTAGCTATATAGATCTGTATAATCACATGCAAAAAGACACAATATGTGGAACGTATAAAGTTAACTTAGGCTCTGGCTGATAGCACAAATGTCTCATCCTCGAGCAGACAGCGCTGAGCCACGTACTGTTCATTCGGTTCCCAGAAGTCGGCCATGTCATCATCCGCTAATGGTTCGCTAGCGGCTTCTAAGCCACTATCATCAGGTATGTGGAATTCACGCCTGTGATGTGTCTCGCCTACGGACAGGCGGCGTCTAAACGATGCGTCGCCAGTGCTAGGACAGCTGCCAGTCTCGTAGAGATTATACAGCTTAATAAAGTGCAGGCCACAGGCTATACGCTGCACATCATCTTTTTTCACTAGAGCACTCCAGTTGAGTGCGATGGTGGCATGAGGGTCATAGTTAGCAATGCTGGCATTGAACTCCTCCGTGCTTATGTTTGTATTGAAGTAACATGTTTCCTCGTTTGCAAGAAAGCTGTGCGCTTCATGCAGCTGAGGCGTATGCTGCTCCAATTGCTTTACATGCTGTGCAGGCATAATATCTAAGCGTGACAAACGCTTTTGCAGTAGGGTTTTCAGCGCTGGCTTGTCTTCCAATTGCTCTTCATCTTTTCCCTGGAGGCGACACTGAAAACTGCAACATTTTGTCGATTTTAGACATTGGGCACCAGCTTGGCCAGCGCTCAATTCCATATTGTTCATGACTGCAAATTAAATCGACGAAAGTTAATAATCAATTATCATCTCTGAGATTCTAAGTCGACTTACTATACAAATTTTGTGGCTTCAACGAAAAATCCCTAGAGTACAAGGATAACGAGTTAATATACACTTCTGTTGATTGCGTCGCATTCACATTCTTCAAGCTGACATCTAGACCGAGTTCGCGATTAACAGCATTGCTGATCACGCAGGTGGCCTCCGCTTGAAGACAACTCTGCACCTGCACCTGCCAAATATGACGAACCAGACGATATTTAATGTGTGCATTTACAGAGCTAGGCAGCGCATAGTAGAAGAGCAGACGTAGCGTAAAGCTGCCAGCTGTCTGCGGTGCTTGCAGCCACATGGATATTGTATGCCCCTGTTGTGCCTCTAGAGCAGCTTGACCAGTTCGCTGCAACAAACGAAAAACGCGTTGACGTCTTATTTCTTTGTCCTTGACTAATTTGTCGTTCGAGAGGTTTCGCAGTGCTGTAATAAAAACGGATATATTAGATACAGCCAAGGCGTATATTGTTTCTACCGACAGCTGAGTATAGTTAGAGGCATTTCGGAATTTTGATGTTCGAGTAGGGTTATGCAACGTGGATTATCGCAGCCCAAATAGATTTCCTCGATCGGTGCGATGCCCAAATTACGCAGCGTTATTGAAACGGGTACAATTTCGCCAGCCAGCAACTCGTTGGGCACAGGACTAAAGCTGACGCTCAATGCTGGCACCTGTGGCACTAATTTAATGCTCAGCCTGTTGTCCAGCAGCGTCTGTGAAGATTGCTTAGCCATTGAGGGCTTAATACGTTGTGATTCAAACTGCAAAAGGCCCAACAAACTGGCCGCTGGATCCGCCTTGGATGCCACACGGCAGACCACGCCCAGTATGGATAGACGTCCGGTAAGCTTGGGTGTAAGCTTAAAGTGCAACATTTGTTTTGCCTGTTCAGCCAGCTCCAAGGCTGACAGACAGCTTGTCTTAATGGCCGCACTAACAGCCGCTTTACTGGCGCTGTCTGACGACTGTTCGTATACGCAGACATTGGAGAGTACCTCCTCGTTGTCCAATGTTAAACGCCAGAGCAGATCAATGTCCGACAAGGTAATAGCACAACGAACACTGTTTGACAAAGTCACAGCTAGCTCTATGGGTTCACCTTGAACGGCAAGCGGAGATTCTGTGGCCGGTTGCTGTTTGGTGAATAAATAACGTGAAGGTTTAAACACAAATGGCTTATTGGATGCGGCAGTGATAACCAACATTTCCTCAATCTTATGCCAAATAGATTCATCTGCAGTCATATTTGAGTTAATATCTATATTGCTAGCTGGCACTTGTGGTGGCTGAACGCTGGGCGGCTGCACAAGCGTCAACACACGCACCGACGATTGCACCACTTGTGGCAATGCGTGTGGCAAGAGACCCAAGTCTGGACTACGCTTGAGTAGCTCCTGCAATGAAAAATATATGTTAGTTATGTAAAGAACTGCTGACAATCTACGCACATTCTGAGTTTGTATGTACTCCTTTAGAAAACTACTTTGCTGCTGTGCACTCTGCAGGCTGCCCGGGCGCAACAAATGAGCGAAGGAACGACTCGCCTCCTCCAGCTGTTTCAGCATATACGCCTGCTTAGCCACGGTGTATTGTATGTGATCCTCGGCCAGGCTCCATTGACGCTGCTGGAACACCTGATAGGCCTGACGATAGCAGCGATACGCGTGCTTGCGTTGCCCCGCCCGAGAATAACGATTGCCAGCAAGCACAATGTGAAAAGCATACTTGCGATGCATTGGCGGCTGTGTAACCAGGAAGCAATAGGCAGCCTGCTCGAGCAGCAAGGCGGAACGCAGATCCGATTCTTCACTGGTCATGCGTATCAGCTGCTTGGCCACCTCACCATACTGACGTGCTGTCTTCAAACATTCCATGCTTAAGAGAGTGGCTCGTGTAGCAAATTGTTGAAGTCTACAAGTAACAGAACAATTAGATGAAGTAACTGTAAGCTAAGCTGTATTACATACTTGCACACAGTCAAGTAGCTAACGATGGCATCCTCCATGTAGTCGTACGTCTTGCGATGCGATGTGCCCAGCATAAAAGCTGACAGTGCTGCCATTTCCAAAGCGCCCGCATAGTACTGCCAGGCGGAATCAGCATTGAAGTCCCGCTTGGCCTGATGGTACGACTGAAAGGCCAGATTATAATGGCCAAACATGAAGTAAAGATCGCCCAGTTTGCGCGTTTGCAGCTCCGCTGATTCGTTCGTATAACTGTGGAAGGTGTAAATATATTTAGTATTATAACTTATGTATTTCTGCTATTGCTAGATCGACTTACATGACCGCATTTTGATTGTTGGCACCAGCGCCGGGCTTGCTGGTGACGAACCAACGTTTAGTGGCGCTCAGAAGCGATTTGCTAACACCCTTTTTATTGGTAACACCCTCGCTGAGTGTGACCACCAGGTGCTCGATGTATGGTATCAAAGCGCGCACCGCATAATCCTGAACAAAGTGACGGAGATTATCAATATCGCGTGCAGCCAGACAGCTGCCATGTGGAGCATCTGCATCGACTTCATTGGCCCAGACATTCGGATTGATTGTCTGAGATGCGATGCTTTCGGTGCTGATACTGAACTTCGAGTTGATGGCCTCTGTGGCACTTTCTTGCATGGGACTCAGCGGATGCAGCATGGTCAAGTCGTTCTCTTGCGCAACCTGACTATCGATTAACTGAGACATTTGCATTGGCATGCTGATCACCGAGACGGTATCTTGTGGGGATTTGGGTGCACTGAGCTCGCTGGACGTCATTTGGTCAGTTTTTGGCTGTCGTTTAATGTAGTTCGTCCAATAGTCGGGTATACCATTGGCAGTATTCCCTTCCATCGAATTAACCGACACCAAGAAGCATTTATTATTACCAAATGTTGACTTGAGCAGCTCAAATCCTTGCTGTGCTCTTGACAGATCTCCTTGACTAGCTTCGTGCAGCACCACATAGCTGTTGAGCACCTCCGTGGGCTGGAACCATTTAGGCAGCTTTTGTGGAGTTATGTTTTGCATTTGCTGGACACGCTGCGTAAGCTTCTGGGCAGTCTCAACAATCTGTGGATCGGCGCTGGACAGCACAAGCAAACAGCTCAACAAATGGCGAGTAAACTCGTGTTCCGCTGGAAACTGTACGGTCAGAAAGGTTTCACGCCATTGCTCAAACCAGGGCTCCGCTGTGGGCACCTCCAAATCGATACCAGCTATAAAAGTTATTCTAGGCGTGACTAAATGGTTGAGTAAGAAATGCGAAGCAATGGTTACCGATTGTAGCAACTTTTGTTTTTTCATTGTGCGCATTCGTCACAGACTCGTTGAGCATTTTGCGAGCCAGCACAGTTTGTGGTGGGCGCCAGTCCACGTCACAGAAATTAAGCCGCAGGCCACGCACAGAGACACTTGTTCCGGACACATCCCGAAAATGAGCTGCGGGACAGTTAAAAATAAGTTATAAGAAAATGAGTTACATATTTTTAAGAAACTTTGGCTTCAGCTATCAGTCAGATTATGTTCGTAGCTTCGTCATTGTGATAGTTACTCCTTCCGTCCTCTTATCCGTTATTCCAATTTATTTTGTTTACTCACCATCATTTGGCAGCTTGGCAAAGGGCTGCAGCAGCTCCACGAAGGACAAATTGTTGCGATGACATATGTCGTCGGCCAAATTGCTGCTCAGCACGCCAATTAATGGCGAAAATATGTTCTTTATTATATCACGCGCATTATAGTTTTGGCCTGTCAGATGTATCATATTTAATGTATTTTGGTTTATATTAGCACAAACACAAAACGCCTCGCAAATCGGCCTATCTCTTGTGGTGTGACCAAAGTCCGATTCTCGAACTAAACTCTTTGTATATAATACATGTAGCGGTTATAAATACCAACAGGCAGCTCATACTAATGTTTACATTTATAGGACGCCGTAGTAAAAACATCTATGTGGCTTATATATATTATGTTATTTTATACTGTATTTTTTTATGATGTTTAATGTATTCATAGTTTATTATTGTGATTTGTAAATAGGTTTCTCTATAAATGTTTTTGCTTTGATATATGAATAAGTTGTAGACTTTTTAGTATTTTGAGCGTTGCCAGACTTATCACGCGTTCTTTCGAAAAGACTGAACGTGCATTGACAGCTGGAATTGGCGGGAAAGCCTTCTATCAGCTGCTGTCATTAGTCGTTCACTAAATTTATCTACTGCATTTTTTGCACCTTACCGCAAAATAAATCGAAATACATTGAATAAAATTAAAATTAATTAATTAGAATATACACGGCTACGCTGAAAAACAGTTCAATTTAATATTTTTGTATTTGTGTTACATTTTGTGAAATTTAAGCAGCGTACGCAAAAAAAAGCGCGCCCATTAGCTTCATCTTTGTCCACAGAAGTCTTTAGCCCCTGCGCGTACAGTCAGCATGGCTAAGGTGCACATCACGAATGTTGTGGTACTCGACAACCCGAGCAGTTTTTTTAATCCGTTTCAGTTCGAATTGACATTCGAATGCATCGAAGAGCTTAAAGAGGATCTCGAATGGAAAATGATTTACGTCGGATCCGCGGAATCTGAAGAGGATGACCAAGTGCTGGACACTATATACGTTGGCCCGGTGCCCGAGGGTCGTCACATTTTCGTCTTCCAGGCCGATCCGCCAGATGTTAGCAAAATCCCCGAACCTGATGCAGTTGGTGTCACAATTGTTCTATTGACCTGTTCATATCGTGGCCAGGAATTTGTGCGTGTAGGATATTATGTGAACAACGACTATGCCGATCAAGAAATGCGCGAGAATCCTCCACCGAAACCGCTTTTCGACAAACTCACACGCAATATCTTGGCCAGTAAGCCGAGAGTCACACGCTTCAAAATCAACTGGGACGACGGCCACACCAACAGCAATGGCAACGGGCAGGAGAATGGGCACGATGCACATATGATGCACGACGATGGGCCGTCTACATCGACCGCGCAACATGATGCGGCCATGGATGATAACAGCTTGGCCATGCCAATGGAAAATGGTGTTAAGGCGCTCAATGAGAACTCAAATTCACTTGCCATGGAATGTTGAGGCAGCGACCTCAGTCTGACTTCAGCAAACACACACATACGCATACAAATGCAATCACACACACAAATATAAATACACTCACAGTGGCGCAGACTTGTAAGCCCCCCGCCCAAACCACCCTCCTGGTCCCATTAATTAAGTACTGTAATTTAAATCTTATCGCTGTTAAATAAATTAAATATATCTTAATTTGCATACGTTGATTACATTGTCATTTGTTTCGATAGATGCTATCGATAATTGTAGAGATGGTTATCACATATTTAAACCAGTGCAAAAGATATAGTAATCGATTGCTGAAATATTTATTTGCCAACTGCAAAGAAAACGTTCTTATCGTAAATTAATCGAAAGTTCAGATCCATATCCGTTAACTTTGAATTACAAGAACTTTACGAAATGATTAGATTATATTGGTTTACTACTGAAAAACATTTTTTGAGCAATTCAGCCACCAAATAATTTAGTTGGGAGTTTAAATTATATTCTGGACATGTCGAGGCTAAATTTTTCAAAATCAAAAATTGAATTTATGTAAATTTGTGTTTAAACTCAAAATCGTCGGATATAAATTCATTAAAAAAATTCTAAAAAATTGATTTATCTGAATCTAAAACAATCTGTGGATTTTTTCGGAATATAAAACAAAACACGAAATTGAAATAAAATTCTTGAAATATTGCAAAGATGTCATATTTCAAAGATTGGAGAAATAGTCCCAGATGTCATGGGGAACATTTGCCGAAAAACAACAGTAGAATAGTTTCCAGGTTTATATCATATCATAATCTGAAAAACTCCTATAACTCATAATTTACTCAGTTGTAGTGAAAAATATTTGGTCCAAAATCTTGATAGTACATACCGTAAAGAGCAATCTCACGATCTATTTAAAGTAAAACGGAAACGCAATAACATAATGAGAATCCAGACTCGATCCGATATTGATTCATTTGATAAGAGTGTTAAACTGACCTGTCCGAATACGCTAACTGAGCAACCCTGTGATGGCTTGGATGAGGAGTTGCATGAGTACACCATTCACCAGGGATTCGCTACGTATCTCAAAGCATTCGCTTTGATTTATGTGCTGCCCGAAGAGGAGTGGACCGCCGATAATATTGATAAATTGCTAGTAAAGGGCGAGGAGTTATTCCAGTCCAACTCAGAGGCAGAAGTTGCAGAAGCGTTGCGAGTGGGGACGTCCTCCATCTATACCAAAGTAGAGCGGCATATCCAGCGCAGCTTCAAGCTGGATGGTCACAATTTTACACTCGAACTAAGGCCCAACTATATGGGCAATCCGAAAACGCCGGTGGATATGCGACCCCCGCACATTATGGCGCATCTTAAGGAAGTATTGTGCAGTTTCTTTCGAAACGCTCACTATTGCTTGCTCTTGCATGATGCAGGCTATCTCCTGATCTGGCGGCGAGGCAAATTGTATTTTGTGATGGACTTAAAGGGTCGTCGAGTCGATGATTCTGGCAGCATTAAGCCTGGAGTAACATTGCTAGTTTGCCTACAGACTCTAGATAATGTGGTCAATTTGGTGAGCAATTTAAGTGGCGGCAATCCAAACGGCGCATTCCACATCCGTGAGCTGGCTGTGGTGCGACTGGTGACACCGGATGGACGCACCTTTCTACGGAATACCAAACAATGTGCCCACGAATACCACGTGATCAACAATAGCTATGCCTATCTCAAAAGTAATTTGCATCTATCACTCAATCCGGAGGCGGCACTACACAATGGCAGCAGTGTCATTGTTGCCGTGACTGGCATATTGGCCGCCCAAATCGATCATCCCGCATCGTGGAATACGTACAGCTTTGACCGGCTGATCTGCTATGGCGTTGAGCTCTGCCGCAGTTGTTGGTGCGCAAATGTGAGGACTTCCCTGCCTATTGACTTGGACAAATTTCCTACACAGTTGCGCCTTGGACAATTTGTTGCGGAGATCAAGCTAATGGTGCAAGTTGATCGTGGATACTGGCGCCGGAGTCTGTCAATTAAGGTGGGTATGCTCTTTTCTTGTTCTATTTCCTAAGAGACTTGAAGTTTAGTCCTTCCTTTCTCCCATCAATTTATCTGACTCCGCTCTTTAATCTCAATTTGTAAATTTTAATTCGAAAATTAGGACAGCGAACTTAACGATAAGATACGCTGCGTCCTGAGGGACTGTGGCAACGCCTTGTTCCAGATCAACAATCAAATGTACGCGCTGTGGTGCAGGGACAACTTCTACTATATGCTTGATCCCTACAGGCATATTGTAGCTAGTCCGCAGTCAAATAGAGATAGTATGAAATTCGCAAAATGGGCCACGGTGCGAATGTTTCGGAGCTTATGCGGATTACTCAATGTATTCCGTCAGCTGCTTAAAGAGTCCAATCGCAATTCTACATTTTATATTCATGTTGTCCGCATCAAGAATATAGCTAAATGCCCGGAAGGATATGCGCTGAAGCCCACGGCAGAAGATGCGTATTGTGTGTTACAGCCAATGAATGAGTCTATAGCCTTTCCCGAAAAATTAACAGACTGCGCCCCCCAGCTCGCCGAGATTAGTGATTTTGAGCCGGATGTGAGAAGAACGACGGAGAAGTCATTCAATTCAAAAATTCAATTCAAAAAGCTTCCCACCAGCTCGGGCCGTCACGAACGAGTGCAAGGCGGCTTGGATGCAGTGGAGGTAGAAGTCATTAGGCCTCCTCGAATCGAGCAAGGCATAAACACTGAAAGTTGCGGCTTTGATAAGAAGGAAACCGCAGTCAATACGAAGTCAAAGCTTCAGCCACAAATAGTAAGTAAGAAATCATCTAAATCAGCAACATAATATCCTTTATCGCCTGGTAGCCACGTAAGCCTAAGGTAGCAATCCCAGCAGCTGCAACACCGCACAAGATGCCCAAAGCTCAGCCTATTAGTGTCAAACAACGAAAGGAAACTGACCTAGAGCAACTCGTGGCGTCCACCGTTAAGCATGCAGAGTCTAGTTCCAGGGGCAAAGGCTTCATAGCTCCCACGAAATCATCACTGGCCAAACGGGTGCTAGTCCAAGCGCCGCAGGAAACGCAGACTCTAACTGAGAAGTTTACGAAACTCGATGCCAAAATGTGTGCCAAATACCGTCCGATACAGCTGGCACCGCTTAAGCGGCCCAATTACAGTGAGTGCGAGGAGTCAAGAAAGTGTAAGGAAATTAAAAATGAGCAAGTTCCAATGAAATATGATTTCGCCAAACAAAATTGCGAAGTTGCTGTGAAGAAATCATCGATTTTGTATCCCGTTTATACCAAATATCCGTTTAATCTGACTGTCGCTGGTTCCGAGAGCGGCACCGTTGAGAGTCTGAACCGTTTGCTGGACTCCGCCTTTAAGGTAACGAATCGGGTCCTGGCCATAACGCCGTGGGGCAAGTATGTGGTATTCAAGCAGGCAACAAGCCAATTAGACGCGATAAGCTTGGCAACGTTTTATGTATTTGATGGCTGCACCTGCAACATCGATCGCTTCAGACACTTGGATCTGAGCCATGGAACTGCCGGCCTGTTGCCCTTTTCGAGCCAAGATGAAGTTGTGTGCTATATGATAGATTCACGGGAAACGCGTGCTATGAAAGCGTTACGCGTTCAACTCGATCAGTCTGCTGTCCAGAGTGAGGCGTTTCTAGTTCGTGGAACTTAGTATGGATGCAGGAGGATTACTTTTTATTTTGTCTTGGTTACATGTAAAAGAAACATTCCTTGTCAGCAGTCATATTCTGAATATTTAAATTTTAATACTTGCAAATAAAACGTAAAAGCTTTTAAAAAAAACTGACTGAAATGCAGTTCTTGGAGTCATCTTGGAGCTAGAGAGAAAAACCAAATTCTTTTACTTTTTCGGTTTTTTTTTTTGCTTTAATCAAGATTACAATCTAATTCGTATGAGTCGTTAAATTTAAACTTAATATGGAGTACATTTACATAATGTAGAGAATTTTATTTGTTTGCTTTTCCTTTTTGCATGCGGCGCTTCTTACGATAGCTAAACATCCAACTAGTGTGTAAATATATATATATATATATATATATATGTGTGTGTATATATATGGTGTGTATATATTATTGTTGAGTGTATATAGAAATATTTTAAATTTGTAATTCGTTTTTTAAGTATATATTTATAATGTGTTTCCTTTCCTTTTGCAGCGTGATGTGCGCTTTTCGAGTGGTTTCAAATTAACTAGAGCGAACAACTTATGGATTCTATAGCAAATGATTTGTTATTTCTGTTTTAGAAAAGCGCACATATTTCACATCATACATTATTAATATTATTTATATATTATTTTCTGGTTTTTTGTTTCTTTGTTTTCTTTTTTGTCGATTCTCTCAAATATTTGCTTTAAGGCACTGAAGCTTTGAATTTTGTGCATATCGAAAAAGTAAGTAGGATTGCCGGTATAGAGGTCCTTCAAATGACTCCTTTGAAGGGATTCCAATGCGAGCTACAAAATTATATTATGCGCTTCTTTAAAAACATTCTCATCGATCTCTGCAAATTTTCGTTATATAAAAAATATCCCTGACTATTTTGCGTTACATATATATGTATATTTGTTTTCCTATATATTGCCTGAGGCCAATTCTATAACCGTTTTTTTCTCTGTTTTGGTTTGTTTTTGTTATTTTTTTTTTCGTTTTTTTTTCTTTGTATTTTAGTTGGGAGCGTGTTGCAGTTAAGCTCTTAAAATTGAAAACTACTTAATGGCTAAACTAAATATACAATTACGGCATTTAGATATATATTACAAAGGCAGCTTACAGAATATAACGAAATCATAAAGTAAAGAGTGGAACCTAGGAAATTCAATCATATATAGAAAACATATAGATAAGTTTGCCCCTAACCCTTAAAAGCGAACACGGATATTGAGGTTGACGTTATAAAAGAAAGCGATCAACGCTCGAGGATCAACTAGTTTTAAATATCATATTAACTAAAGACACAATGCACACAGATATCGGACATAAAGATACATAAATATATACGTATGTATGTATAACATATGACATATATAATACCATACAGTTTTGAGGTTTTTTTTGAGTATATAAAGAGATAGTTGATTTCGGTTAATTGTTGTAGGAGCTTTTCTCACTTAGGCTATGCATAACTAGGTTAAACCATATTCACGGCGCCATCAGCCTCACATGTTGGTATAGATATAATATCGCTGCTGCGTATGGCGCCCATTGGTAACGCTGAAGTCGGCGCCGTTTTCGCTTTGGCCTCCGCCACGTCTTCCTCCTCTTCGCTGGAGTCACTTGAGTCTGGCTCGCTAGAGCTGTTATTGATGTTCTGTTGCTGTTGTTTCTTCAGTTTTAGATCGGCCGGCATATCTGTATTGCTTTCCAGCGTCGAGTGTTGGCTCGATGGCGAATGACTGTACTCGGAGGTGTTCTCCTCATCGGATACGATGACCACATTACGCTTGTGTATGGCAATCTTTTGAGACAGCGGCGCCTTGTAGCTACGTCTCGGTCGCATTCCACGTCCAATGGGCAAACGTCCAATGCTATAATGATTGAAAATAGGGAGTCAAGTATTCGCTTTACCACAACTGAAATGGACTTACCTTCTGCGGCGCAACGCGTAATTATAATCGGTGTCTTCACCCTCTTCATCCGACCAGCTGTCCTCGCCCAGAGGCTCCTGTGAGGACTCACCATTAGCATTGCTGTGGTTCGCTGCTACATTCTCTGGCTGTTGCTGCTGCTGTTGTTGTTTTGTTTGTCTTCTGCTCTGAGTGCTGCTGCAGCGACTCAGACAGGGACTACTATTTACGCCTACATCGCGCAGCTCCGGCGCCGTTGTCGTGTGCACGCTGCCACCGCTGCCGCCGTTGCCGTTCTCAGTGGAATTGGATTGTATGGACAGGCGGTTCTCGTTGATGAATTCAGTGACTTTACGGCCGAGCCGTTCTAGATTTTCATTGTCGCTGTAGCAGTCTGTAATGTCCAAGCGCTCGTTGCTGTTCATCACGTCGTCAATGAGCTGATCGGGGCTGGAGCATGCATCTTGATAGGTCAGCTCGCTGTTGCTCAGCGAGTTGCCATTGGAGGGACTGGCAGCATTCGCCGGTGAGCTGCTGGCGGCTGCTGGTATGCTGCCACCAAGAACCTTGGCTTGCGCCATGGCGGTGGCTAGCTGCTGGATACGTTGTAGTTGCAGCGGCAGCTGGCGATGATTGGGTGGCGGCTGGGGCACATCAGCTAGTTGCTCGACGCTGGGACTAATGTCCGTCTCACTGACATCCATGGCATCTGTTTGAGTTTGCCGCTCGACCAGTTGTACCTTGCGATTTTCCGGCTCGCTTTGATAGCGACGATCACGCGTCGGACTGTATTTGGGTGGCGCGGCAAAGGAACCAGAGCCATTGCGTCGATGACGCCAAGTCTTCTTGTTCTTGTTAGACATATTACCGCCGACAAGAATGCTGGTACCGACAGCGCAATAGGATTTTGGCTGGCAATTGCCATCCAGTTGCGCATAGAGTACACATTTCACGGGACTCTGAGGGATAGAACAGATTAATGCCAAGCATAAAATAATAATATATAAAGTCTTACCTCTGGCGTGGTCTCGGGATCAGGCGTTGAGGATTGCTGTTGTGGAATTGGTTGTGCTGGTGGCGCATTCAGTCGTCGTCGGTAATGTTGCATTTTCCTGAGAGTGTTGCCAAAACGTCTAGTGGGCTTGTAGCCAGAGCCGGGCAACTTACGTTCCCGCCTACAAAATAGTATAAATATTGATTAGAGATTCGGATTGGGTTCGTAAGTCTAGTACTTACTCGGCAATTTCTTTCTCTTTCTCCTGCAGCTGTGTCATGCACTCGCTTAGCTCGAAGAACAGCTGATTTGTCTTCTGCAGCTTGTCCTCGTAGACCATGCGTATGTCCTGCGCATGGCGCCATTCGGCGGTGCGTCGCTTGATCAAGTCCTGCTCATACTTGTGTATGCTAGTGCCGTTCTGAGTGATCTCCTTGAGATGGCTACGCACCTCCTCCTTCCAAGACTTTTGCGTTTCAAAATATTGCTTTTCAGTTTTGCGCAACAGCTCCGGACCGGCGATCTCCAGATGGCTGAGTATTTGCCGGAACGACGGGCGGTTGCGCGGCTTGCTTTTCCAGCAAAGCTTGACCAGCAGCTTGAAGCCCTCGGGACAGGTGCTGGGCACTAGCAGCTTGAGTGAATTATTGCCCACGCCCCAAATAATGGCCGATGAGTCGACATCCTTGTACGGTATTTCACAGGTGAGCATTTCCCAGAGCACAACACCATACGACCAAATGTCAACCTTCTCCGAGCAGGGCTCGTTTCGAATAACCTCCGGCGCCATCCAGGCGACAGTGCCTGCAAAGCTCATCTTGGTGCTAATCTCGTTCCACTCGCGACTGGTGCCAAAGTCGCTGATCTTCACCACTTCATTTGTACTAATCAGTATGCTGCAAGGATTAGAGAGATTTAGATGGTTTCAAGAGATTTCCTTTACTTCTTTCAACTCACTTGGGACTCTTTAGATCTCTATGTATGATCTTATGTGAGTGCAAATATTGCATTCCCAATGCAATTTGTTTGGACCAAGAGACCAAACGGGACGGCAACATGACCTGCTCCTCCTTCAATATGTTCTGCAGCGGGCCATACGGACAATACTCCATGATGATGCAAAAAACAGGGGACTGCGTAGAAACGCCTCTGTAGGAGCAAAATATACGTTTATCAGATAATGAATTATCAATGATTTTCTGCTACTCACTTGAATTTGATAATGTTCTCATGATCCAGCTTGCGCAAGTGCTTGATGTCCGTTTCCTTCAATTCCTTCACCTTCTTGACAGCCACAATTTCATTCTTTAGCTTGCCGCTAAAGACAGCGCCCTGTGCCCCACTGCCCAACCAGTCCAGATCCGTAATGGACTCGAAGGGTATTTCCCAGTTTTCGCTGCGCTGGTTCTTCACTTCGATGACGCCCGCCTTGCCAATGAAGGACAACACGGGCTTCATACAGCCCAGTAAGCCATACATCCAGCTAATCGGCTTATCCGGATGACCAAACGCACTGGCCAATCCACCACCTCCCACATGTGGTGGCCAGCGTTGCTGGCACGTGTTCTCAGCACTGCTGTCCGTAATCTCTGCATAGTTGTTGTGAAGCTGCGGTGCAGAGGAATCGATGTCTGCTGACTTGAAAGGCAGATCTGTGGCGGCAAGTCCTAAGTGTCCGAACTCATCCTGCAGGCAGACCACACTAATAATGAAAACGGAGAAGAGAACGATTGTTAAAAAGGATATCGTGTTATAAAAGAATTTTTTAATAATGTATAAAAGAGAGTTAGACAAACCAATAGCTAATAATATTATTATAACCTATAATATGATAATACTCTTAAAAGTTCTAGAAGCATTATTCAAATGAAATGAAATAGGCTTTCAGAATGTTTAGCAATGAAAGCAAATCTCTATAAGAAAGGTTAAATATAAACCAATTTACAATCGAAGCTTTATCGACGAAATAATCGTATATCGATAAAAAGGGAAAGTATATTTATTTAAGTAAGCTTCAATACGCAATTAGACCAATGCAGTTTATCGCGATAAATCAAGTTCACACTAGTTAATCAAAATATTTCAATATTCTTATATTTATACTTCTAATGACAGTGATAAAGATAATGAGTGTTTATGTATATAATTCATATATGTACAAAAAGAAAAGAATAATCACCCCTCTGCTAGTTCCTCGAAATTTGTTTTGGAGCAACATTTATAAGCACCTACACGCACACACACACGCATACTTCCATGCATATACATATGTTTCCTGCCGAGCTTGTGCTCGGAAATTTGTTTTTTTTTTGTTTTTTTGTTTTTTTGCAACCGATAAGATAAACAAAGTCCCCATTCAGAAAGTGTGAGTAAAAGAGAAAGGAGCATTAAATAGAAAGAGCACGCGTAATATACCCAACAGTCGCTGCCGCAGAATTTTTTATTCAGGTGAAAAACATTTATCACAACAATAACAATCAACCCGGGGTAAAAAGTGTGATGGGGCTGCCAAGCTGAAGCGACGTGCGCGAACACGCAAAATCACCTGTTGCTCGTCTCACACTCGCACTAACACACCCTCGCATATAGATTGGACACTTACACAGGCGCAAATCATCTACAGTGCATGTGCAGATTTTGTTCCCAGCGTATGTATGTATAGACATCCCGCTCGCACCTCTGACGCCTGTGGGAGCAATGCGTTCTTTCGTTCACATGTCAAACCCGCCGACGCCGTCGTCTCTAGCACCAAAACTAATGTCAAAAACCTTTTAATTACTTATGAAATTTTGAACGCATTTATAAATCGCTGCAGTGGCACGTTTTGACCTCTTCTTGTTGATGTCGCTGGTGACGCGCAGTTCATAGAACGCGGAAACCTGGCTAGTTTGGACTTATTTTGTTTCTGCAGAGCACAGCAAGTGCAACGAATAACGGTAATTTGGTGGCATGAGTCAACATTGTGGGCCTCCCACATTTTGTGGTGTTGGCAAAAAAAACCAATGGATGTATGTTAGGCAAACAGACGTCACTAATCACAATGTCTATCGATATATATAAGTGAAATGCGATCGCTAATAGTTATCCCTTTTGTCAAGCCTTTGTTTACCTTTTCTCCTTTGTAATTATTTTATCCGGAGGGTCTGTACGTCCGAAAATTGGAATGTAATAAACCATTGTGATGTTTTTTATTCGCTTCTTTCGCGCTTATTTTCACGGTTAATTGTGTTTGTTTTTGCAATTAGTTTTGTTGCCTTTGGTTAGTGTTGTTGTTCACAAAACTCATTCATTAATTTGACATCGCGGGGCTGCATTAATGCAAATTTTTACACTCGCTCTTTTAGCGGTTGCCGCCAGACGTTTTTTACGCACTGTATAAACCCGAGTGACAATAATAACAACACCAACAACAAGTTTTGATTAAAAACGTTCGTTCGTTCGCTTCGTGCCAAGCACGGACAGCCACCAAAAACCAAAGCACAAAACAACAACAAATACGGTTTTTAACGTTTTTGTCGTCTGAAAAAAAAATGACGTCAAGGTAAGTGTTAAATAGTGTTGGTGTTATTGTTGTTGTTTTTGTTATAGTTGCTGCAGGTGTAGCGTTAATTACAAGAATGGGCTGCGTAACACTTTCGTTTTGTTTGTTTGTAACAGTTAATTTCATGAATTTTTGCACAAAACGTACAAAATCTGCGACAGCGCTCTACACACGCGCACACACACACACACACAAGTCAGCAACTGATTTGGCGATAAGCAAAGCTATTGTTATTTCTGTCTGCACACAGATACACGGGCACGAAGTGCAGAGACGTTAAGGCAGGCTCACAGTTTGATTGACACGCTGTCTTGCTACGACAACCATCTGAAACGATTGATTTTCGCGTACTAAATTGCAAGCGTGAGCGGTGGAGCATAGCCACCAAACGAGCCGCTCGCATCACACATTATCAGCACAGCTTTGTGCTCTCATTCTCTCACTCTCTTCTTTACACCGTCCATTGTTATCAAGTGTTGTTGTTGTTAGAGTGACCAACTTTGAGAAGTGCTTGCATTGGGCAGCATGCGGCGGAGCTTTGAAACCAGTTTTCGACGCAGGTGTGTGAGCGTGCATGTGTGCGTGCGTGTGTGTGCTGCTGCTGCTGGGAGGCAGAGTACGTATGTATATATATGTGTTTGTGTATCTATGTGTGCGTATGTATGTAGAGCAAGTAACAAGGAAGCTTCTAATCGGCCCGTTTGGGCTTTTGGGTATTTGTTTTTGTTTATCATTTCGCAACAAATTATGCACGTGTTTTATTTATAAAAATAGAATACGCGTATGCAGGTATATTTTTGTTGTGAACTAGTATATTTGAATTAAAGTAGCTTAATTGATAAGTGTAAATTCTAGCAATATATCTCTTGCGAACATGACCTTGACCAATAACAGTTTTGGCCAATTAAAAAAAGGGAAATTTAACATGTTCGATATCTTACCTTCTGCGCAAATTATCGGTTTGATCCAATGATAGATTTGGACTGCTTCCGTGATGTCTACGCCTGCTGTAATGCAGTTGTTGTTGTTGCTGTTGCTGGTGCTGCCTGGAGGCCAAATCATCACGACTTTTGCTTAAACTGTCGCTAAATGGCTGCATTGTCCGTTAGTTTTTGTTTTAAATTACACTTCTTAGCGCCCTACGACATGCTGGTTAGGTAGGCTGTGAATGATAACGGAACACAATGACATTTGTAAGCATTTTTATCAATGAACCAAGGGCTAATCGATAATGTAACTGGACGACGTCAAACGCCCACTCGCAGGATGCGCGAATATATACACATGTGTATGTACATCTGTATGTATGTGTGTGTGCATTTGTTGTATGCCAGGGGGAGATTCGGACACGTTCAGTAGCATTGGCGTCAGCCCCCTCGACGTTACGCTTAGCAGTTAAACCAAAAAGCGAAAAGCGCAAAACGGCAAAAAAAAATTACAACAGACGTTGGCGACGACGTCGACGACCGACCCACGCAAACGTCAACGTTTGCTGAGCGTAAGACAGAGAGAGCGAGATAGAGAGCACGCGAAAGGCCGCGAGCCGAGAGGGCGAGAGTGAAGCTTAAAGCTACCGCGGAAGCGCGTGATAAAACATAAGAAGAAGACGCAGCGGCAGCCTATCAAACAAAATTTCAAGTGCACCACACACAAACACACTTGTCACATACTTAGACACACATATACAATGCATATAACATAAAAAAAATAATTTAACAGCTATGCACATTTCCCTTTCAAATGCACTTCTGCTGTTTTTGTATGCCTTTAAATGGCAAATTGCACAAAAGAACAAACACACACGCGGGCGCACGTATATGAATACATGTGTACATGTATTGAGCTATGTATATTTGCGTTTCCACTTCTTTTTCGCCTTTTGCTTCTTGCTTTTAATTTTTTTTGGTTTTTTTTTTTTGGTGCCGTGCTTTTAACTTGGCTAGAACATAACAACAATAAGCAACTACAACGAAATTTTGCCAAACACACACGAACGCAACAAAACGCACACACACACACATATATATATACATGCACATACACATTCGCACGGCCTCTCACAGTCAATTGGAAACCTTACAGCGCAGCTTATACTTTTGTGCTGCTGCTGCTTCTTCTTCGTACGTTGCTTCGGTTAAAGAAAATCAATAAATTTTTATTTGCACTTTCCACTGCAGTTTTGCACAATTTTTGACTACATTTTTCATTTGCATATGATATAATATGCCTTCACTTACATTTTATTGGTTATTTTGTCACTAGTTTTAATAAATGTAAGTAAAAATTTTACAAATACAAAGACTGGTGGCCTTTGGTTGCGCTTTAGATAACGTTCCGACCAACCAACCGTCCGCACCAAAGGTAGATACAAATCAACTAACACACAAAAAAAAACTGGCGCACGCTCAGCCTGCCTGGCCGAGAGCAAGCAGAAATTGGTATGTACCAACAGCCACAAGCTGCTTGGAGCGGGCCAATTTCCTCCCTCAAAACCAGTTTGGAGCGCAGGTTGAACTGCGCATGTGCCTAACTGTGCTTGTATGTGTGTGTGTACATGAGAGAGAGAGAATGAGAGAGCGCGCGCAACTGAGAAATTGAGAGCCATGCCATGGCCAGCGAGCGTCGGCGAAGGCAGCAACCACTAACATTTCCAAGCCTCGCTTGTTGTTGTTGCTTTATGCTCACATTTTTGAAGCCCGTGCGATCAAGTTGCACTGTTAAAGCTCTGTTAATAGCAGTTATAAAAGCTTGTGCTATACTGTTAATTTAAAATGTTTGCTTTATGAATCCTTGTTAACGTGTATTGTTCTAGTATTTATTAACTTATTCAAAATTAAAAAAATGAGCTTGGGATATGGAAAGAAAACTGTTTGTTTGTGATTTTCCCATGTTTCTTGAAGCTAAAAAGTTTTTAGTTAAATTTAACTCGGAACAGAATTTAAAAAATTCATTAAATATAACAGGAAAGCAATTAGGTAAATTATAAGCGAAGTTATATATAATTTTTGTATATTTATTTATATGAAATTTAATTTCAAATATGAAATTTAATTTTTTTTAGAATATTCAGTTGTAATTTATACATTTTAATTAAAATAATTGTGAAATTTACATTTTTTTTATAATTAAATTTTAAGTTGAACTTGAATACAAATGAAACTGACTTTCATTAAATTTACTTTAAAAGTTTCGATTGCCATTATTCGTAATCCAAATAGTCATCTATGCTAAATTTAAATCTTACGTATTTAATGCCATCAAAAACATATTGTCAGATTAGAATCAGCTGCATTTTTTTTACGACTCGTATGTCTGGCTGATAAGAAGCGGCAACAAGTCGCTATACAAGGGCGAGTTGTTGACGTTTACCTATTGAATGCTACTTGCCGAACAGGTAGAAAACCTAAAAAAAAGAACAAGTGCAGCAGGTAGCATAATTTCTATGTAAACAACGATGACTCATACGGGCAGACCCGTCGCCCAGAGAACTCTCCAAAACCCGATCCCGAACATATTTATGTGACAGCCACGATCGCTGCTTGGCTGACTGCCTCTTTTTCCTCTCGTGCTGCGCCATCTCTTTCATCGTTAGAGCTGTGTTGCCCCCTTTCTTTTTAAGCCTGTTTGTTCAACCAGATTCTCAGGAGGTCCAGTAAATTAATATGCTGCATGCGTGCGTTTTCTTTTGGTCCATTGCGCATGACTCAATAGCCAAGCATTCGTAGACGGCCAGGGTCCGATGCCAAAACAAAGAAACGCATAAAAAAAAGGATTTCATTTGAAGTCGAGCACAGGCAGGCAAAGGTAGCAAACCGAGGGTTGAATTTCGATAATGATCACAACCTGTTGATGGCGTAGTTGATAAATATTGTGCCAAGACATACATTTGTTCAGTTTATATCTATTTGTTCAGCTAAGATAGTAGTTTTTATTAGAGTCAAGCAGGCAACTTGAATGTCAACAGTTTGCTGAAAGTGAATGAAATATATCTATATACTCACATCATATCAGTCTTAGTAGATGCAGCATCAGCTATGCCCATAATTCTTATTTTAAATAGTTTTCAGGTCATCTTCAAATTTACTCTTTAATGATTCCCAACATTCTTTACTTTAAAATCAGAGCTAGCTCATCTATATATCTATGATGCCAGCTTGCTTATCATTTTAGCAATAAAACTCATCCGCCTGCTTTCGCTTGAGAATGTTTATTTGCAACTTAAATACAATAAAGGTTAAGTAGTCTTAAATTTAATAAACAACATGGCTTACACACAAAATGTTCTGCTTTCTCAACGTCGTCTAGGTATAACTACGTATGTATCTAAAAATATGCCTCGTCAGGGAGCATCGTGAATTTTCACTTCAGTTTACAATATCAATTTTAATTACGAATGTTCGAAATCAACTGAAATGTGACGTGCTGTTAACATAACATAACATTAACAGTTTGCTGTTAGCACAGTTATGTTGGCTTAACAGAGAGCTTTTATCTAGGTGTTTGCGCTTGGCACAGTTTGGTTTTACATTGATTGTTGTTTTTAGTCTGTTGAAGCCAAAATTAATGAAAGATTTCGATAAGTACAATATCTAACTGTCACCATTAAGGAAGATTTGAATGGAATAAGTCTTATGGAGTTCTTAAAAGTTAACAGAGGAACACAGGACAGAAGAGAAATGAGAGAAAGAGAGAGAGATCAAGAGTTTTGGCATTCAAAATGTAGCTTAACTTAGTTAACTTTATTTTTGTTCATCATTTCGTCAATAGAAATGGAAATGGATGATCAAAAAGCTCTGCGGCAATGTGGTAAATGAGTTAACATGCAATTGAATTGGATTCTGTTCTTGGATATTTGTTGTATATATTACCGGAAGGGGATGGGGAGCTCTGGCGCATGTACTCAGTAGAGCGTTAGGAATAACGTTGATATAAGTATAGCTACGAATAGGCATTTCACAGTTAGATGTGATGGCGGGGTACAAATCGAATCTATAAAACAGTAGTCACAAAATATACATACATATATATTAATATAGGCAATATACATATATATATATATATATAGATATATATATATATAATTAAATGCATTTCGCTTAGGCACAATTGAGCTGGACTTTAAGGGTGAAATGAAATAAATAAATATTTTATACTGAATGCTCTTTCAGGGAACTCAATTGCCTCACGAAATGCTCTATGATATAACTTATATATAAGAGCTATAATTAAAATGTTCACAGAAATTGTTTGTTTTAACGCACTTAACGGCGACTTATGATATATAATACGAATACAGGGTGTCTCTCACGTCGGGGCATTAGATGTGAACCGAATCGCGCTTGAATCCAATGAATTCAACCTCCCATTGAAAACCCAATCGAATTTATATGTATTGTCCATCTCACACTACGCTTTCTTGGTGGCTCGGCTTGCGGGATATTTTCGAATGTTTTGGTATAGTTGATGAGTATATAGAGCAAGGGCTAGCTAATGCCCTGTCTCAATGAGATTTTAGTTCAAGTTCTTTGGGTGATTATATCTATAGGTTGCTGTACAACCGATCAAAGAAAACCTGCCTAGCTGCTAAGTTCCAATACGTTAGATTTTATTTTGTTTCTGTTCTCTAATGAGAATTTGTTCTCTTTGAGCTTTTTGTTTTTGTTTTTTTTTTTCATTCTTCTCAAGGACCATTTGATATTACTGCTTTCCAGATCACATCTAGCTCAGTATATGCATAGTTAATAGTTGCTCAGGTTCAGATTGATAAGGAATTTGTATATGCACTATGTGTACCTGTGTAGCTATGTATGTATGTATGTATGTTACCCTGTAGGCTGTCTCTCTCCTCTGTTGCATCACTTTCTTTTGCTTAAAGTGTTCTTTCTCTATATGTAGATATAGATTCTCAGGTACGCGCCGCATTTCTCTAGTTAACATTCTGAAATGTTGACATTTCTAAAGGAACTTCGTTCGCGTTTCGAGCTTTTAGCTTTTCTTTTTGTGTTTGTGTTGTGAAATTGTGAATCGGAAATTAGAAATTAGAAACCTAACGGCCCATTCTGTTCGTGTTGTTCGCTCGCCTCAGTCGCCACAGCTGCCTCAGCTGCCTCGCTGCCACTGTTATCAATCGCAACATTATCCCTATCAATATTCACATTAGCCTCGTCGTCGTCATCGTCGTCCTCATCACTGGAATCGGCAAAGTTGCGCAGGGTGAGCGCCTGGAAGTCATTCAAGGCCTGCTCGAAGAGATCTATGGTATGCTGATTGGTCTCGATCACCTGTTGCGTGGTGTCCAGCAAATCCTCTGTGGCACTGCGCATGAGATCCTGTATGGAATTCGAGTGCGAGGAGGCAAGCGAACGCGCAGCGGCAACACCTATGCCCACACCCACACCCGTACCTGACTGCTGCTCATCACCTGTTGCACCTGCTGTGTTGGCTGTGTAGATTTGCTCACCGCTTAAGTCGTTGACGCTGTCGCTGATGTTGCTGGCGGCCAGGCCACGCGTCAGCTCATCTGCCGCCGCCAGCGTGGATCCGATTATGTCGCTGGCGATGCGTATGGCCGCATCCCGTGCCGCAATGGTCGATATAAATGTGGGCGGGCCACCAGCGGCGGCGGCCGTTGGCGTTGGATTGCTGGGACGACTGAACACCGTGTCGCTGGTCACCTGATTGCCCTCGATGCGTAGTCCTGCCACGCCCTTCTTCGGTATGGTGGCCAGATCACGTTTGACGCGACGACAGCGCGTCGGCTCGTTTTGACGCTGCTGCACCAGCTGCTCCAGATCCACAATGTAGACATAGCCAGCGACGAGTATGGTGCACGATTTGTCGCCCTTTTTGAAGGCCTCCTCAATGTCCTGGCTGGTGCGATCGTCGTACTGCCACCAACCTGTACAGTAAGTAGTTTAAAGGTTTCACTATTGCTTTGTGCCTTCGGCTTGATCACATTTAGTTTTCTATTGTGTTGTATTGTAATAGGATGTAGGGTTATGAGGATGTGGGACTTAAGTATTATGTGAAGTGGTGCTTCAATCCGGCGACACCTTTGACACCTGGTGCCGGTTCCGATCTCTTACGCCGTATAATGTTTCGCTTTCTGGTCGACTGCGAGCGCAGCGTTTGTGTCATGCCGATCAGATCAATGATGTACAGTTGGCCGCAGATCAGCTGCTGGAAGCGACTTGGCTCGTCTGGACTGCTGCCGTACTGCATCTCAAAGTCGGAGCTGCTGTCTGTGGAGCTCTCCTCGCAGTCGCCGTAATCAACATTGTCGAACATCTCATTGAGCTTGTAGTCGACATTCGCACCGCCATTCCGGCTCACTGGCTTGCCCTCTTTCACAGTTGGCGCCACTCTATTCACCTTGTATGAGTGGTACGCTTGGTAGGACATCTCAAGCTCCTCGTTGGTGCGCACATCATACGCCCACCAGCCGCCTAGGGTTTGTGTTTGGTTTATGCTCATGGACATGGATGATGTGGTTGGACTAAGAGACACCGCCACCGAATTAGAGTTAGCCACTTACCATTCCGTCCCTCGTAGTACCACTGATAGCCGTCCTCTGTGGCGCGTGTGGCACAAATGTCATCAATGCCATTCACCAGCTGCGGATGATCCAGAAACTCGGCGGGAATCTCACGACGACACATGGCACAGCGACGATTCTTATAAGCAACGCCCTGAAATGGAATATAGATTAAAGTCAAGAATTCGTCTATTGGAAAAGATGCTCTATAAAATTATAATACAAAATGGTTTCATATCATTTAAAGTTGTTATGCTAGAAATTTGTGCTTTTAGCTGCTGTAATTTACCTTGAAAATCTTGGTATTTCACAATTTAGAAGTTTACAAGTATTTATTAATGCTGGTTAAGTCGTCTATACGTTGACATGAAATCAGTTCGATATTGCAATGCGGAAGATAATTAAATTGAATTATTCAAGCTAGCGCAAGCGCTGGCAAGCTTTGGGCACACATAAGGGTTAATGGCTGCCGCGCAGCCTTGAACTTCCCTTGTGCGTGCGTGCGAAGCGTTGGGCGCACGCGTTTCGAGCGCTTTGACCAAAATATCAAAGCGAAGCGCGACTTGAATGAGTAAACGTTTCCGGCTAAGCCAGAGAAGGCTGAATGGGTGGGCGGGGCAGGTGGTCTGGGCGCTACATACCTTAACGCACAAGAAGCAAAAGATGTGACCGCAAGGCAGGCGGGCGGGATGAATGCACGTCTGCAGGCATATGGGGCACTCCAAGGTGGCGGTGGGACCAGGTGCGTCAGCACCTGACGTCGCATTAGATGTAACAACAGCAACGTCTAAAAGCAATAAGTATCCATTGCAACATAATAAACATTAAAATTTATTGTTTTTGCATTTTGTGTGTTTTACCTGTTTCTATGTTGGCAGTTTTGAGTGCTTCACTTGCTGCGCTCGCTGATGTTGCAGCAACAGCAGCAGTGGCAGAAGAAGCAGCAGCAGCTGCCGCTGCTGCCGAGGTGGATGGCGAAACGCAGAGATCGATTGTTGGCATCTCAGGATGAACAAGGCCTACAAATTGCATGTCGTCGTCTTCGTCGTCGCTGTCGTCTAGATTGATGATGTTATTGTTGGCATTGGTTGCGTTCTGCTCTGTATTGTTGCTGGCGCCTTCATCGGTGCTGGCTGCAAGTCGTTTCGACATTTTATTGCTTTATGATTTGCACACACACTGAACAAGGCGTTTGCACAACGCGTCGAAATTAAAATTTGTTTCTTTCTTGTTGCTTTCGCTCTTCTTCTTCGTCACGAAACACATACGCAACTGTGGGCACCTTAAAAATAGCTTTAACATTTGCTGTAATGTTATTAACAGGGCGCAATTACAAAGAACAGCTGTTACATATCGATTACTTCGTTATATGTATGTTTTGAATACAAGTCCGTTACTTAACTGGCTCATATTTTCAGAATATTTCAGCTTTTGCGTATTGATTTGGCAGCTAGACTGTTATCGATATTTCGATAGCTTGTGCAATGTTATATGTGATGTAAAGTTTGAAATGCATTTTATTAAGCTTTAAAATTATTAATATTAATTTATGTATCTATATACTTATGCTGATTAGTCATAAAATCATTTTTTTTTTGCCAAATGCTGCTTATCTGTTAAGAATAATGTTTATATTAAACGAATCAAGCGAGTGCGTTCAATGTTGAACAATGCAAATTGACTCAAAAGTTGAGTATGGCGCGAGCTTTAAATTTGAAATTCTCAGCTTGGCATATTTTTTATTTAATTTGAGTGTAAATTCCTTTTTATGGTCGACTTCTATATAATTTGACTGCAGCACATTAAATTCAAGCAAAAAGCCAATTAAAATTATGCGCTTCATTACATGCAACACCTTTTTGCACAATCTGCTGGCCCCCAACATAAAAAAAGGAATTTAACTTCATAAAAATTGACAGCCCTTAGAGTCGGCAACAATAAAAATAATAATAATATAAAATACAGAAAAAAAGCGAAACTTCAACGCTCGTCACATGGCATCACGCACATTTTAATATGCAGTCAGCATGCTGCAGAAAAAAAGGACACTACAGGACAGTCGTACGCAGCCCTTTTGAACTCATTACATGAAAATCAATTTTTGGTTTATTTTTGCCGCATGGGCGACACGGCTCTCCACAATTGCATGTCATTTTTTGTCAATTACACACACACATAGAGACACACGGTCAATTGCCTAATTGCGCAGCTCCCGGGCAGACAAACGCGTCGAACTCAACTGGCAACGACGAGTTTTGTAAATTACTCCACACATGTTGCTGCTGTTGTTGTTTGAGCCTCTGGGCTGTTTAATGCACGTGCCTCACTCGCTGCTGCCATTTAAAAATGTGCTTGCAAAAAAGGAGAAGTTAACCATTACGTGCTCTGATTCTCTCTCCGTATGCAAAAACTGTTTAATATGCGCCGCAGTTCACCAACTGAAGCATCATTCCAGATTTTGGTTCTCTTCTCTTGCTGTTTTGGTTTAATTGTTCGCCGAGTTCGGGCAATTGAATTTTTGGCCAGCAAACAAGTAAGGCCAATAATCGTCTGGTTAGCCACAGAGCATAAAAAACGCAGGCCATTCAAATAACTAAGCTCAATCTTAATGTAATTATCACAAAAAACGTTTATGGCCAGCTTCAAGATTATTAAAAGGGGCCCGCCATCAAGTCATAAGCATAAAAATATTACAACTCACAAAATGTTTTTACCCCATGCAAAATGAAAAAAAAAAACAAAAAAGGAAAAGTCCTTGTTCTTGTCCTTGTTGCTGGCTTTGTCTACTTTTCACCCTCATTTTGCGGCTGCTTGTAATAAGCTACTTTTGCATTGCTCTTTATTTTACCATTTGACTTGCACCACCCAACCACATTTTATTATCATTTTTTCTCGCTTCCTCTTTCTCTGTTTTTTTTTTTTTTGGTTCTTCCGCAAATCCCTTTAATCAACGAAAATTGGCTGTTCACACATGTGAGCCTAGGGCTTATTATGAAACGTTTTATTTTTTTAGCACTAAGCTAAGCTCTAATAAATTTACGAGCATTTGGCCAAAAAAAAACAATAACAAATTTGCACACTTTGCCATTAAAATGTTGATTTTATAGGCTGAAGAAAACATTTTCTTGACTTTTTGTATCAGAAAAGTCGTTCATAATTATTAAGCCTGAGTCAAGATTACTGAGAACTGAATTAAGCATAATTTATATATTTTTCAAAATCTTTTAAATTGTCCTTAATATTTTTTTCTGATTTATCTAATTTCGCATTTGTTTTCAAGGTTTGTCTGAGCTCATATCTATGTGCATCAACTTGATGATCTTCAGAGCAGCTTCCAAACTGAAGAAAAAATAAATTAGTTTTTAATATGCTTCCCTTTCTATAAAATTTTTGCTGAACTATATATATGGACACGGCACAAATCTAATATACTCTTTTCACTATATGAAGTAGTATGAAAATAAATATATTTATGCTTTTACAAATATGTTTTTTTTTATAACAACTTTCAATATATTTATTTAACTTCAACGTCGTTTTGCTCATCAACTTTAAACTCTCTTAATGCCAACGTAAAATTATTGTGCCGCTTAAACAAATTTCAGTGACAATTTCCACGTAATCTAAACCGTTTCAATTTGCCAGTCTGAGTCTGTGGCTGCAAGCCAAAAAGCTTGCGCGACAAACCGTCAAGTCGGCTCGCAGCTAACCATGCCTACTTAATGCGACCCACGCGCACAACCGTTTTACCTGTCAAGCGGTAGCGCCAACCCACCCCACCGCAACCCCCACCAACTGGGTGTTTATTCTTCAAGGCTCAAGGCTCAGCTGCTTGTCACTTGCATATTGATTTTAAAGATTTACATCCGGCACAGCATAAAGCCAGGCCAGGCACAACAGGTGACAGCAAGCGCGGCGCTTACAAGTAGGCAACGATTTGTAATACCCTGTAAACATGGTAGTTGCAGGATAAGGCGTATTAGTGCTGGATGAAAGATGTGTGTTGCGAAGATGGCAGTTGCATGGTGGATGCGGATAGTGATAAATGCTAGTTGTTTAAGGGTCTCTAGAGGGAAATGGAATGAATAAAGAATATATGATGAATAATATTTGGTAAATAAACATAGAAAGCGGAAGAATACTTGAGCTATAGACCATGGACCATAGAAGTTGTCTGACAGTAGAACTGAAAGAGAAAGTTAGAACTTGAAATTGGACTGGAGATGTTTTGGGTGTGGCTGAGCCGATTCAAAAGATAATAAAATAAGTCATTAGATTAAAGATCGATGTTATATATGCTAATTACTAAATATTCATATTATATTGAAGCTCTAGATGGGTGATTTGAAAATGCAGCTGTGTTCATAAAAATAGTAGTGCGGCAGGGCTTTAAATGTTGGACACAATTTCGTTTATAAACACAATAATCATGTTAATAATAATGATAAACACAATTGAAAACATAGTGAAATGAATATTCAGTTGAACATATTTTTAGTTAATTAAAATTTGCACTTCAGGGCTTGAGAAAGAAAAATTAATAAACTTTTAGTTGTTCATAAAAATAGTAGTGGATATTAAAGATAGAAAAACTGTTCAAAATTAATTAAAAATTAGTCTAACTGCATATATTTGTGCATTACAAATATATTCTGGTCTTATGTTTTATTATTGTTTGGCAACAGAGTGGCATCGCTTAAGAGAAACTAGCTGCCACGCCTCTTAAGCTACTTGCCACAACTCTGCCTTGCTGGTTGGCTTTGTAATTGATGTATCTAATCGACTCGTATTCCCAGCACTTACAGCATATTTCTGCGTACATCACAGCATCATTTCAAAGTGTTCCCCACATTTCTTTGCCGCCCCATTTGTTCGAGCTGTCAACAAGGTGCCAGAAACTGCCTTGAAGGGGAGGCGGCGCACAGCATTTCGATTTGTGATTTTTATCGCGTTGTATTTGATTTTTATTGTTGCTGCAATTTGCTGACAGCAATTGAAAAGCAATTGAAAGCGATATGCCAACGGACCAACGGCAGCAAGCAGCAACAGAAGCTGCCGAACAGAGCCTGCTTAGCTAATTAAAACTTTGGCCATTTAACAAAAAAAAAAACAAAACACTTCCTAAGCAGCAGACAGAGGTGCAAATGGGTCATAAAAAACAATGCTATAAGATAACATTGGGGTCCAGGGGTTGGGGCTAAGGGTCAACTAAATCAAAGCGCCAAGAGTTCAACTGTGCCAAGGCTTCGGGCTAATGCAACGTCTTTCAAGCTGCTTTGAATGTGAATAGAAAAGTTGCAGACCAAAGCTTATCGGGCACAAAAAAGGACACTGTCTGCTGTGTGTGTGTGGGTGTGTGTGTTGGGTAGGTGGTGTCAAAAGCCACACGCCGCTTGGCTGCCTTTTGTGTTCGAGTCCTTTCGCCTTTTGTCCATAATCTTTGGCATTTTATCGCCGTCCATCTGCTGATGTCTTTATTAAAAATAGGAACAAGCGAGAGAAAGTGGAACAAGTGGTAAAAAAATGCAATTTTTAGCCCATTTTTTGTGGGTTTTATTGCCAGACAGGACACAACTTAAGCATTTTATTAGCAGCAAACTTGGCAACTTCAAACTTGAAGTTGTCTGCGTCTCCTGCTGCTGCTGTTGTTGTTGTTGCCCTTAGCAGGCGCTTCACATAATTAAATAAAGCGTTAAAATTAAAAATCAAGATTTCTCAACATTCGTTTTTTTTTATGTTTTGTCTGCAGCTCGCCAGCATCCTTTGGAGCAGCAGTTGCCCGCCGCGCGATAAGCGGCAAACATTTTTGCAGCTAGATTCCTGGCAGAAAGCAACCCTGCGCCAGTGTTAATTCGTTTTTTATGCTTTTCTGCCTTATTCTTTTAAAGTGCCAAAGTCGTGCAGATAAGACGAAAATGTTGCGACATTTTCCGCCTTGTAATTGTCCCGTGCAGGATGCGCGGTGTCCAAGTTTATTGCCTAACGACCGCGGCACGTTCCCATCCACTGTGGTCTTTTTATATTTTAATTAAAAAATCAAGAATGCCAACCTTAATGTTGACACACTCACCAGCCAGGGAAGAGAACAGACTGTCTGTGGGAGAGAGAGGGTCAGAGAGAGAGAGAGTGGGGTTGACATGGTATTGGCATTATGAAATCAAAATGTTTATGAAACGCCCATTGGCACATTTATGGCGGGGCTTTTTCACTTCAAGTATTTAACTTGTTGTAAAAGAATTTAAATAAAATAAGAGATAAGTCGCACACAGATCTGAATTGCCTAAAATGATGTGGAAAGTGCTTGAAAGGGACTAAAAGCAGTTGATGGAAGAAATGTCTGAGTTCACACCATAACCAGCTCATTCTAACTTATAACCATCTGCTACATTAAATTCTTCTTCTTAGTCCATTTCGAATCCTCTTTCTGATCTTGTACCTTCAACTTCTGCTTTCTACTTATCTCTCTCTATATCTCTCTATCTCCATCTCCATCTCCTGCTCTGTCTCCTTTGTCAACTCCTCCTATTCTTGCTGTTATTTCAACTCCTTCCCTTACTCTTCGTCCTACTTCCACAACTTGTTGCCCTGCTTCTCCTGCTACTCGTCTTCATCCTCCAGCTTCTTCAACTCCTACTCCCACTTCTTCTGATCTTCCTTCTTCCTCTTCTACTCCTCATCATTCCCTATCTTCTCCTACTCCACATTCTTCTTATTCTACTCCTTCTCTTTTTTCTTATACTCCTCATCAGTCTTCTTCGTTTCTTTCCTCTTCTATTCCTCTGCCTTCGTTTTCTACTTCTCATCATCTTTCTTCTTCTACTACTCCTCCGTTTCGGCATTCCTCTTCTTACTTCTTCTTACCTACTTCTTTTCTTACACTTTCGCTTTTTGCTTTGTCTGCTCCCTCTCCCACTCCGTCCTCTGTTACTCCTGCTTCTTCTCCACTTTCTTTTTCTTCGCTTACTCTTTCTTATCTTTACCTTCATCTGCTCCCTCTCTTTCACGTATTCCTTCTCCTATTCCTGTTCTACATCCCACTCTTGCTCTTCAGCCTTCATCTATCCATGCCTAACTCGCTTAACCCTTCTGCTTTTCACACTCCTACTCATTTTCCTATATCTCAACCTTTCCTTTGCCTTCTCATACTTGCCTACACTTACCTGCTTCTTCTGCTCCTACATTTCCTCATCCTGCTTCTCCAACTGCTTCTCATTCTCTCCCTCTTCCACTTTTTCCAACTACTTCTAATTTATCTACCCATTGAAATGAAATTGGAAGCTTCTGAGCTTTACTACGATGAATGAGAATCGCATAGAAGAACATTCAAATATGATGAATGCTTATTGAATTTAAAACACTGAGTTAGATTGTTGTATTTATAATATAATTATTATTGAGGATTTGCATATAAAACATATATAATATATTTTTGTCAGACTTTTGCTTAAATGCTATTACATAGTTGAAAATATTTTAAAAGTTATATATATTTATATATATATATATGTACAGATATATATATGAATAATATTTGTGCCTTTACATATTTAGAATTGTCTTCTTAATAATGTCAATGCTCTCTAGCATTTGGGCCTCAGTGATGACCAGGGGCGGGGCGAAGCGAATGATGTCGCCGTGGGTGGGCTTGGCCAGCAAGCCGTTGTCCCTGAGCTTCAGGCAAACTTCCCAGGCATCATATTCTGGGAGAGTTCAAATAGAGTTAGTTAAATGAAAGATTAGCTAAGAAAATTGCAGCTTACTGGCATTGATGACAATGGCATTGAGCAGACCCTTGCCACGGACGACCGAGACCACATCCTTGGGCAGCTTGGAGAGCTCCGTGCGCAGCAGTTGGCCCATCTTGAAGGCATTCTCGGCCAATCGCTCCTCCTGGAGCACCTCTAGTGCAGCGATGGCTACACGGCAGCCAAGCGGATTGCCACCATATGTGGAGCCATGCTCGCCTGGCTTGATGCAGAGCATCACTTCATCATTGCAGAGTGCAGCCGAAACGGGATAAATGCCACCGGAGAGTGCCTTGCCCAGAATGAGTATATCGGGACGGACTTCCTCGTAGTCCACGGCCAGCATGCGACCTGTGCGTGCCAGACCGGTCTGCACTTCATCGCCTATCCAGAGAACATTGTGCTTGGTGCACAGCTCGCGCACCTTGCGCAGGTAGCCCTCGTCAGGCACAATGACGCCCGCCTCGCCCTGAATGGGCTCCACCATAAAGGCGCACACTGTGGGATCCTGCAGTGCCTGTTCCAAGGCAGCCAAATTATTGTAATCGATGAGCTCAAAGCCGGGCATGTATGGACCAAAGCCCTCATAGCTGCTCGGATCGTTCGAGGCAGAGATGGCGGCCAGTGTGCGGCCCCAGAAATTGTTGCGGGCAAAGATGATCTTAGCCTTGTTCTCGGGTATCTGTTTCTTCACATAGCCCCACTTGCGGGCCAGCTTACAGGCCGTCTCACAGCCCTCCACACCTGTGTTCATGGGCAGCACCTTGTCGTAGCCAAAGAATTTGGTAATATATTCCTCATATTCGCCCAGCACATCGGAGTAAAATGCGCTAAATGAGAAGAGAAGTTGAACTTAGATAACTTACATAAACATATAAAAAAATATCGAATTATATGTAAATAATATATAAATTATATTAATACAATAAATATATATAAAAAGATAACAAGAGAATAAAAAATACATTTTATATATATGAAGTTTATTAAAAAAAAATAAAAAAAATAAGTATAAAAAAAATATATTTAAAAAACACATAAGAGAAAAAAATCTATTCAGAATAAAAAAAATATATATATAATAATAATAAATAAATATATATTTAATTAAATTAAAATATGTAAATTTATAAATACATACAAAAATAATAATAATAAGAAAAAATACAAAAAATATGCTAAATATATACAAATATGTAAATATATAAATATATATGTACTTGAAAAATAAAATTGATGTTCAAAAATCTTAGATTAAGTCACATGACTTGAAACATATAAATCTGGTAACAGTCGCATCATGACATTTTCCTATATTGATAACCTCTAACGGTACATCTTCATCTGTCTAATCAATCAAATGGAATCAGTTTACTCACTACAATTTGCGTTCCACAAATCATGATTGTAAATTAAATATATTTCTTGAGCAGTTTCCGGTTAGAATTGGTTTTCTTTATCGAACGAAGCTTTCGGTTGTCAGGTGTAGCGGTTCACACAGTTAGGCTATTATTAGCAATTAAATGTTATTATTTATTATTCCTTTCACATATGTCAAGTGCTTTTTATTTGCTGTTCCTTAAACTCAAGTGTTTGCAATTGCTAATTGCATATAGACAAATATATATTATAGAAATGATAACAGCAATTTTGAGATTATTTATCAGCTTATGGTTTAATGACACTGCATTTATTTATATTTTTTAATTTTCGCTTGGTTGTGATTAAGGTTTATATTTAGTTTCTAAACTAGATTCTTGCTTATATTTCATGTTCTACTTAAATATAAGTCAGCTTTTTTTGCTCAATCATTAAGCTAAAAAAAATTATATTTTATTCAAATACTGATATTCTATTTATAAATTTCACTTTAAGAGCTGCGATTAGCCTAGAATACTTAAATGTATTTTTATATTTATTTTAATCTTAATTTATAAAAATTAGACTTGCACTGCAAAAATAAGAATCATGATTTTAACCTTAAACATAATGCGTAAAAAAAATATAAAATATTGAAAAATATAAAACATAAATAAATATAAAAAATTAAAATAATTAAATTAATTATATTAAAGATATTGATTAGCTATTGAATGATATTAAAATATAAAAATATATATATGAAAAAATAAATAAATAAAAAAAAAATATTGTTTGTTTTATTTTTTTAAATGACTTAATAATTTTACGTTTTTGCCCCAATTAAAATAATTTAGCAACGTAAAATTTCCACTAATCAATGATAGCAAAAACGTTTAATCATTGATAACAGGAAAAAAACCAGAAATACACTAGAAATTGTTTACGAGCTGTACTCAATGGCCAATTTCGCCACACAGCAACAATAAAATATAAATAAACAACAACAACAACAACAACAATGAACAAATCAAGTTCATTGAAATGTTTAAAAATAAAGCTCATAAAGCTCGATAAGCTTTAAAGGGGGGCACGTCCCACAAGAGCCACAAAATATTTTTTTTTTTTTTGTGCATTTCACTTACCGTGACGTCAGCGCCAGTTTCTGTGACTGCTCCGTGAGGGCGCGAATAATCTTGGGATGACAGTGGCCTTGGTTGACCGCCGAATAGGCGCTGAGGTAGTCATAGTAGCGTTTGCCCTCCACATCCCACACGTGCACGCCCTCGCCCCGGCTAAGCGCCACGGGCAGCGGATGATAGTTGTGCGCGCCATATTTTTTCTCACGTGCGAAAACCGCCTCGGAGCGGCTAGTATCGGTCGTGCTGGTCTCTTTGGGCTGTGTTTTTTGTGCCATGCTGCTCAGGCGGCTGGCAATGCCACGTGTGGTCAGTTTGGCGAACATCTTTCAAATGGTTTTCAACGCAAATAATTTTACTAGCGGATCTCACACACTTTCTCACTTGATCGCTGCCAGCGGCTTACTGAAAGTTCGCTCGCATCGCCAGCCGGCTATTTATACCTAACATGTTATTTCTTTTGTTTTTGGAGAGTCACGCGATAAGCTTTTTTAGTGTAGGCCCCCTGCGTAGAATGTGCGAGAGAGATAGAGACAGGGAGAGAGGGAAAGACAGAGAGAGAGAGAGAGAGCAGCTACTATGCACCCTGAGCTTGTCTTGGCTTTGGTAGCTTAGCCCAATGACAAAGTCTTATCTGCTTAAGTTTTGGTGTTTTGTTCTACAACAATCAGCAGAAATTTTCCATTACTCAATTAAGCTGGCTGGCTGCTTGTGCCGAAAGCTTCTTGTCTGTGTGCTGTAAACACCCTGTACGCACCAAGCTGAGCTAAAAGGGTGTGATGTTGTAGAGGTAATTAAAATTATTTTTATTATTATTAAATTTTCTTTCACATTATATTTATTGTCTATAAATTCTTGAACTAGTTTGCATTGCATTCAATCAATATTCATTGATTATTTAAACTAAAAGAGCCTGATTTACTTATAAATATTATATTAATAAAACTAAACCAGATTTAGACATAAGTTTTCTTTAGCTAAAAGCTGGGTCAAGCAGAGGCAGTTCATAACTAGCTTATGTGTATTTACAGGGCATCTGCGTCTCGGTCATCCTGTGTGGCTGTTTGACATCTACACACATGTGGGTGTTGCTGTAGCCATGGAAATTGTTAGAGCTTTAAAACGCAAACGCAACGAGGCTCTGCTCCAAAGTTCAGCGGCGTCTTGATGCTTGCAGATATTTTAGTGCCTACAAAGCTTTTGTCACCAACAGCTGTTAGCAGAACACAGTGAATACTATTTACCTTAGCACGTGCTGAGCTCATAATATATTTATGCGAATGGGCGAATGAGTAATTAATTCTAAGTAAACAAAAATATTGTTCTAGCGGACAAATTATTGTGCTCGAAAGGTAATGAGCTGTAGAACAATTTTTTATCAATTGTGTCAGTTCAATGGCGCCGTAAAATAAATTATAAATAAAACATGTTGATAATTAGGGCATATTATTGATAACGTTAATCGGCTGGAAGGTTCCTAAGTATATAAGGATATATAAGCAGTATATAATGTCTTTCAAAATATTGAATAAAACGCATTTACTTTGTTAGTATTTTATATATTTATTTGATTTTTCATAAATATTTTACGCTTAAAATGTACAACTAATTGGCTTAGTTATGATAACTAATTTCATTTGTATTTAACAATTATAGCACATTCAAGAATTTTGAGTACTAAAAAACAAAGAAAATTATATTTATGTAGAGCTGTTCGGAAAACAGCCAAAAGGCAACGCAAAAATTGCACTAAACATCGATAGTTGGAAATTAATTTTGTTAATTTCGATAATTGCAAAAAAAAAAATAAATAAAAACTAATTTAAACTCGCAAATTTACACAGCGAAATATAAAATAAACAAAATAAATAAATATTGTTAGAAATAAAATGTTGCTCGCTTTTGGGCAGCACCGCAGAAAGGAATTGAGACAAAAACTGTTGCCCGCTTTGGGGCGAGCGTTGAAACATGCCCAATTAAACATGATTTTCGCTTAACTTGTTTCATTAGCTACCACAATATTTGAATTAATTAACTGTAATAAATTCACGCTTTGATTGCTCAATTCGCCGTCTACTCCATGGCCGGGGTGGCAGCGCTCTGCTGCGGCGACTGTGCGGGCGATGGCGACAAACTACGTGGCGTATTCGCCGCATTCGCCGCATTGGCCTCCCTCTGTGCCTGCGCCTGACTGAGCAGCTCCTTGTTGAGCCTATAGCTGCTCATCACATTGGCGCAGCTCTGATGGAAATAGAAATTGCGTCCGCGTAGAAACGCATCTGTGTTGAGATCCTTTATGCCTGTCTTGAGAGAGAAGATACACAAAGCAGAGCATAGCTTAGAGTGGTAATCAACTGAGAGAGAGAGGGAGTTAGAGAGTGTAGTGAATGAGTGTGTACGCGTGTGAGTGTGTGGGTAAGGCATGCAAAAATAGTGCAAAGAAGTTGTAGGTAGTGGAAGCGAGACAGCGCGAAGACCAACTGAAAAATGAAACATTTCTTTACATCGTGTCAGCGAGAAAGAGTGAGCGAGAGAGTGTGTGTATAAAGCATTCAAAACTAGTGCACAGAAGAGACAAGTGGTGGAAGCGAGAGGGCGCATACACAAAAATGAACTGAAGCAAACTGAGAAATTACCTTACAAATGAAACATTTGTTTTCATCGTCCGGTTTTAAATCCGAACTAATTCCCACCTTTGTGTCCAATTGCGTTAATCCCGGCACGCCCATTGACGATAGCTGCGACAGGCTGTTCTCCATGGGCTCCGCATATTTGGTTGCTGTTGTCGTATTGTTGTTGTTGTTGTTGTTGCTGTGCGAGATATCCATTGGCCCTGGCTCGGTGCTGCTAACCTGTGGCTCCGATCGCGGACGCTCCTCATTGGGCGAAATGTTCTCCAAGCTGCTGCAAGAGTGAGACGACAATTGTATTGAGTTAATTGTATTGGCTGCGCAGCTAATTAGCTTAGATTTGCCTACCGGCTGCTGGCCACGTTCTCCTCCAGCCGTCGCTTGAAGCTGTGCGACTTGGTCGTCAATTTCACAGTTTCATCGTCATCCACAATGACGTCTTCATCGCTATCGTTCTGGCACATGGCCGTATCCATCATTAGCTCCTTGTTGCTGCTGCTGTTGTTGTTGCTGCTGCTGTTGGCGCTGCTGCTATGCTCAGCCACGCTCACGCCGCAGGAATCCGCATTGTAATAATGATGTGTGGTAGATGACAGCTCGCTGACATTTTTCACTGTACGACCACGTATACAAGGACCAATTAGCCGCCTTCTGGGCAAATGACTTTCGACTTACCGCTGATATGCGCCTGTGTGCTGGGCGTTGTCTCGCCCGACCAGCTGACACTGCTGCTGCTGGCTGCTGTCACATTGGTGCTCACATCCTGCTCATCTGCATGCGCATCCTTCTGATTAATAACGCATGCCGTGCGATAAAGTATGCCATCCAATTTGCCCGGCTGGGCATTCGTGTTGTGCATGCTGGAGGGCGGCATACTGGGTGTCAATGCAACAGCTCCGCCTGCTGCCGTTGGCAGCTCTGAGCCTGAGTCCGGCACATCATCGTTGCAGCTCTCCACATCCACCGTTTCGATTTCATCCTGCATCTTGGGGTCCTCCTGCAACGAAATTTATACCCCATATAGAGAGAGTAGCGAGATTTCGCACTGATTGACCCACCTCTGGAGGCAGCTTCCCAGTTTCCAGCGCATATTTACGCTTGCATATGGGACAACTGCTACAGTAGAGACTCTCCATCATGTACATTTCGCCATATTTACGCTTGCGCACCTTCAGCCGCAGTCGGTTCTGGCGATTGTTGCGAATGCGCTGAAAGGTCTGAAAGCGAATAAGCTGAGTTCCCATTCCATACAGAGCTATCCACAGCCTACTCACCTCCCAACGATTGTGGCTGGTGCGTATGGCATTCTCCTGGGCTGGGCAGGGCGGAGCAAACATGTATGTGGCCTGCAGATTGGCGCGCTCAAAGCCAGCGCTCAGCTTGTACAGGCGATCCAGCTCGGTGAGGAAGTGCGTATGCCATTCCTCGGGGCTCAGCTTCAGTCCACAGACGGGACAGAGATCGGGTATGGCGCCACCAGCAGCTGCCGCCTGCAGGCCGCTGACCAGGCTCATGCCGCCCGGCATCGCACGCAATCCAGCCAGACTGGCCAGCGCTGCATGATGATGGGTCAGCGGATGTGGGTGTGCATGCACCATATGGTGGTGCGTGGGCGGTGGCAATTGCCCACCGCCAGCGCCCACATGATGCCCGTGATGCGGATGCGGATGATGGTGTCCCGGCGACGACTGATGCGCAGCCAAATGCGTGGCCATGGAGACGACTGCGCTGCTGGTGGCCGCAGCTACGGCCGCCGAGCTAATGGCCGCTGCCGCCGCCGCTGCCGCTGCCGCCGAGCTGGTCGAGCAGGAGGACGAGGAGCTGCTGGATGCTGTCGAGGAGGAGGCAATCGTATGCGCTTTGCTCACATTGTGCAGATCTGAAATTAGGCATGCCGCATTCATCAATCAAAGCCGCCGCAACGCCAAATGGCAATAAAAATTGAAATTCCACCAGCCACGCGCATTGATTTCAATACTGGAATTCCGAAGCCCAGGACCGTGACACCCGCCCTCGTCTTTGGGGCTGCCCCATAAATTTTCTGGCCAATTTCTAATTGCATGCTACACATTTTTAACACGTACTTAGCCCAAATTAATTGGCGCTCGTTATTTTGTTTGAAGGGGCCATGCGGCTTGGGTCATATCCTTCGTGGCGGCTGCTGAGCTGTTGTCCTGCTGAACTCTGCTCAGCTCAGCGCAGCTCCACTCAGCTCAGCTGTCAACCACACGTACACGGCAAAAAAAAAAGTGTGGAGAACAAACCACAATAAATACAAACTGTTTGCACATCCAGTCGAAACTTCTGCACGTGACTGTGGCAGCAATTAAAATATTATTACAATAAAATTTAATATGCTTGCTGTTGTTGTTGCTGCTGCTAGGGCATGGCAAATGTTTTGGTCTAAAAATACTGGCAACATAATATGCTGAATGCGTTCGGTTAACCGCGGATAACAGTAACAGAAACAGTCAACAGACAGGCCAACAACATTGCGCCCCAAAGGATGAGCGCAAACATTTGAAGTTCTCGCTGCGAGCTTAGCATAAATTAAAATATTATTTAAATAACTGACTATTATAATGAAATGTGCATCGGATATGGAAAAATCAATAAAATTTGTTTACCATTTGGGCTTGGGTGGACAGTGGCGTAAGCAAGAGTTCAGCCAATCTTAAGCTGAGCTTGGGCGAGATTTTAGAGAATTTATAGAAATATTTAGAGAACTACGAAGAGTTAAATGTTTGCTTAGTAAGGGAAAAGAAGAAGAAGGCTCAAATACATTTTATTTAACTTATTTTCATTCAATATTTAAGGCTTTGTAATTTCTTTAAAGACATTTATAGTCAACTTTAGCTCTATATGGAAATTTATATAGTATAAGAATCTATTTTTCATTGAATATATTTTCACTGTTATTAAAAAATATTCAGTAAATTATAGATTTAAATATACTAAGCTTAACACAAACATCAATATAATTATAGCCCTTCTCTACGATTTTCAGCAAGCTAATTAAGATTATTTAATTTTTTATATTTTTTTTGCATTTTAGCCTTTTTATAGCAAAAACAAAAATATTTAAAAAATTTATTTGAAACCCTTTCAACCAATTTACAATGAATATAATCACTTGATATCCTTGTCTAAAATTCAAAAATAAATAACCAGAAATTCCTAACAGTCACGTGCCAAATGCCCGCGTCCTGCCAAAGGGAGGTATTTCATAAATAGCATGAAATATGACTTTCATAGCTTGCGTGTGTGTGTGTGTGTGTGTGCCATTAATATTACAGAAATTAATATGAAAATTCCAAGTGTGCATTGGCTATAATACATCATCTGAGCAACAATAATAATAATAATAATAACAACAAGTAATGCTCACAATAACAAAGCCAAACAATGCAATCAAAGCGATTTGCAACACTTGCGCATCCTTTGAAGGATGCGAATGGACAAAAAATTGGAAAGAAACCGAGCTGAGATGTTGATGTTATGAGTTTCTGTCCTGGCACAAGGGTAGTTAGGGGTAGCTTTAGCTGCCTCATAATTGGCTCAAGTGCCAACGGCAGGCAAAAGAGTTGCAACAAAGTTGCAAAGGCTGAGTAATTAGCTGGCTCGTGCCGCCTGCTGCTGGCTGCCTGCTGCCTGCTGCCTGCGGTTTGACTTTGTAGTGAAGTGGCAGCAGGCACACAAAAAAGCTTGACTCCTGCCTGTAAGCCTTTGCGACATTTAAAACACTTAAGAAACGCCCTTAGTGTAAGCACGTTAAATGCGAAAAGCCTAAAGCAGTTTAGGCCATGGGCTCATTGATGCTGCAACTGCAGCTAATTAAAAGTGTATTATTTATTTAAATTAATTTATGACCTTAGTTTAGTCTGCAACTCGCATAAGCCAAAAGTTAAACACACAAGTTGACATTGAGCTAAGGGTAAGAGAGGGGTTCGTTCGGTTGTGTGTGTGCGTAGAACTGGTTTTACAGCTTAAGTCCATATGTAAATAGGAAAGTCAAACAAAAAAGTTGTCATTAGAGCGCTGTCAGTGCTGCACTTGACAGGGGATATGAATTGTTTAATATATTTAGAGTACTAAATATTATTTTTTTATTTTAATTTCTAGATACAGCAGCAGCTGCATTACTTATTTGAATATGCTATTATTTAATGTGTTATAATCTAGGGCAGCAATTTTTAAAACTTCTATATTCCTTCAACTAGATACCCACACAATTTTGCCTAGATATAAATATATAAACTTTTAATCAAATTATGCTTCTTTTAACTATCTAACTAATTTTTTTTTCTCTTTTGTTATTAATTGATATGACTTAGAAAGGAATTTTCTATGAATCGAAATGAGTTATAAAACAAAGTCTTGCTAGCATAAGTAATTAAATTTGGAGTATAGCTATTTATTTTCATATTTATCTTTGTAGTTTTTACGCAATTTAGAGAGTTAAGTACAGGAAAAATAAATATAAAAATTTTATATTAAATTTTGAATAAAGTTTTTACATATATAAAAACTTTAATTTGTAGAAGTTGTGTTAGTCGTTCATAATATTCTAAAAACTTGTCTTCAAATTGTAAGCAAAGTGCAAAATATATAAAAAATACTTTAATATTTTTTAATTTATCCTTAATAATTTTCATAACTTTCTCTCAAGTGAATCTACATGGCAGTGAAAATTCTAAATTGTATTTATATATTTCAGGAGTATTTCCTTTGAGCTCAAATAAGGTTTTAAATTTGTGGCATCAAAACACTTTGTGCTTCAATAAATAAGCTCAAATTTAATTTCTGCTAATTTAATAAAAGTTTAGATATATGAAAAATATTTAATGACAAATTTAAAATTTTTATAAAAAGGTAATATTAATATAATATATAATATATAATATATAATATATAATATATTATATAATATAATATATAATATATAATATATAATATATAATATAAAATATATAATATATAATACATAATAAATATTAAATAATAGCATAATATATATAATAATATATATTAAAACTTTGACATTTCAATGCAATTGCTTATCAAAGTCTATCTTGAGCTTATCCTAGCTGCGCATCAACAAAATAATCTTTGCATATGGAAATATCTAATGAGCGCGACGCTGCGGCAGCTGTGCCACTGCCAAACTCGCCCCGGGGCGAGTTCTCTGCGCTTTGCACTCATATTTATCACGTTCATATGCTGCTGGAGTTGTGGGGGCATAAGGCGCTTAAGGCCGACACCAATTAGCAACGCATTTGTAGGCAATTTGTTTGGCCCAGTTTTGCAGCAGCTTTAAGGGGCGGCAACCCTCAGGTAAATTGATTTAAATGTCTGCTCGAGTAACAAGAGCAAAAAACTAATAAAATAAAAATGTGAAGTGCGGCCTGTCGCTTGTCTGTCCGACCGTCCGTTCGTCTGCCTGTCTCATCTGCGCCGCCAGTCAAAGTTAAACCAGTGAAGCGTTAAAATTGCACACAGACAAAAGTTAGATTGAAACAAATATGGCTAGATTTTGATCAAAAAAAGGCACAGCCCCGCCCACATTTGGTTTTTATCGGCAAATATTTTCGTAACATGCAAATTTGCGAAAATCGAGTGTAGCGAAGTAGGCAGAGCAGAGCAGAGCAGAGGAGTCTAAACCCAACTTACGTCTTAAATCCCTGGGATCCTGAGAGTTGTTGCTGCGCGGACTTTCACCCTTTTCAACGGCATCGTAATCCTGTGATCCCTCCATGGATTCGTGTGATGTGCACGTGGGGCTGGCCGAATCCGTGCGAAATGATTCGCTGCCATTGAAAAGATTCTGCAAGAAAAATAAAAACACAAAATTCAATTTCAGTTATGACAACTGCCAATCTAAGCACGATTAGCAATGCCACTTCGTCTCTCTCTCTCACCTGATCCAGGGATATGCCAATGTATTTGGGCGGCGAGAAGGCCGACGGCAGCGAGAAATTCGACAGCACCGACGGCTTTCCCAGCGGCGAGCGTTCGCTTGCGAAATAGCCGCCCGGAGCGCCGGCTGCGGCTGCGGCGGCAGCTGCTCCATTTGCCGCCAGCATTCCATGGTTGAGAGTCTGCAGCAGATGCGGATGGAAGTTGTGTAGGAATTGGGTGCTATAGTTGCCGACTAGTGACATGTTGTGTAGATCTTTGGCGTCAGGTAACTGCAAGAAGAAACAGCAGACGAAGTAATGATGAGTTGGCTATGCACAGAGTAAGACTTGGATGAGAGAAAGTTTTGAATGCTTAGAATGTAATAAGTATATAATAAGAAAAATATAAAGATATATCTGCTTTATTACAGATAATATATAATATGTTAAGAGTAACACTTTGGTGCTTGAGCAGAAATAAAAAGATATCCTTTCATATGCAAGCCCTTAACGTTCCACCTTCATCTTGATTATTTTCTAAGTCATTCAAGCTATAGTCCTTTAATTATTTTTCTATTAAACTATAAAGTGCTCTTCTTAAAATTAATCAAAAATAGGTGCTGCATCATTTCAGAAAATATTTTTTAAAAAATTTTGAAAAAAGTTACTAAAAATTTGTCATCAGGCAGAGCGTAATCAGCAATAGAATAGAAGCAGTAAAAGATAAACTACAAAGTTTAAATGAACAAATACTCAATATTACTAAAGTCTATGGATTTGTTTAAAATGGTTCTCAGTTTCAGAATTGTTTTTGAAATTTTGAAAATAATTTATTTTTTGAGAAGTGTAAATCAAAATTCTCACAAACAATTTGTAGTTACGGCTAGTTAAAAGAACTTAGGGTAGCTTTAATAATTTCGAGCTAATATTTAAGGTATTTTTAAGAAGTATTATTTACTTTTAAATAAGGTTATAAAATAAACTTTGACTTAAAATTAATTTGAAATATCTAACATATTTCGTTTAGCAACAAAAGGCAATGAATAAAGACTTAAAAGTTGGAAGTTTTCAAGTGTCGCGGAGTGTTAAGTCAAAAATTAATGTATTTATAATACTAAGTTTTCTTAACTCAAAATTCTGCAAATAAATTTAAATGCTCTTTACTGAAACTATAAAATTGTTAGAGCAGCCTCTGACTATCTTAACTATCTTGACTAGCTTATCACATACATGGTAAGATCTTGAAAGGCTCACAAGGTTTTAAAAAGAAATGACTAGACTTAAATCGAAATAGATATAGAAATAATCATGATCATGGACGTCAGCTAAGCTTATGATTAAGATGTATATATATCATATTATCATATTATTATATTATATCATATCTCAGATTTCTCAAGCATTTTTTTTAATATAAGTTGTGCTTATAATTGGTTATACATTCTTGAAGTTATATAAGATATCAACTACTAAATTGCTTATTTATTATACAACTCTAAACATGTATATATATATTTCATTTATTTATAGATACACACATCCCACAGCCTTTTGCCCTCTCAGTTTTTTCCACAACTTAACACTCATTTTCCCACACTTTTCCGTCTCACTTTCCAGCGCATTGCAGACGAAATTTGTATGTAAATTCACATTTTTTTTGGCAAACTTTGCTTGTGGGTGGCGATACTTGTCACACATGTGCCCGCTTATGTTGCTGTCTAGTGAGAGCGTGTGTGTGTCCCAGACGCTTAGCACTCATCAGGCTCAATTTGTTATAAACGTTTTCTCTGTTTATCCTTTGTCGTTTTTATCATCGGTGCCCAAACCCCTGAGCCCAACCCTCAAACTCCACAAATATCCCATATCAGTTGCAAAGTCTTTTGTGTGTTTGCTAAATTCTCGCTCGTTATTTTACACCCCATTGGTGGCAGCCACACACCCACACATACACCCCCTTCCACCGCCCACATGACACAGTTTATGTGCGACAATGTCGTAACTCGAAAATCTCTCAATTTTGCGCCGTTTAACATTTATTTGTCGTAAATTAAACATTTTTTTCTTTTTTTTGGCGCATATTTTAAGGCGGCTTGGTTACTGATGAGCTGTTGCCACATAGGACATACTAATACATTGCTTTTAACTGTAAATGACTTAAGATTTCTTAATAGCCAAATCTATATTTAGATTTATTTCTTGCATCTAGAGTCCTCCAGCTCGACCTGCTTTGCCATATGTTGCCTTTGGCTGCCACGTTTCACGTCCTCATTTCACTTCCACCTACGATAATTGGCCAATTTTTGTGCCTAGTCATGTAGCTGGCATCATTTTCAGCTACTCCCGCTTCTTAGCCAGCTTCGCATAATGCGCATATTTTACGCTCACTTAGCTTTTGAAAACTCACGCAAAGTTATTAACGAAAATGAGTTTCCACAGCAGAAAATTGATGTGCAAATTTGTGTAAGTGTGAAACGTGATGTAAACAAGCGAATTGCAAATATATATGTTTCAAATACTTCACATAAAATATATTAATTAAAAGAGGTATATGCTCTAATAGTATAATAATTAAATAGAAGCTACAGAAGGGCGTTTACACTATTCTCAAATCAATTGAAATTTAATAAAAATATTTAATAAAAGTATTAAATAGGAGGATTTAATAAAAATGTTTAGTACAAATATTAAATAAAAAAATATTTTATTATATTAATTATTGCTTATAAATATATAGAATAAAAATGTCTAATGAGAATATTAAATACCAATATCTAATAAACATTAAGAATATTTAATAAAAATATTTAATAAAAAATATTTTAAAAAATATTTATTAAGAATATTTAAAAAAATATTTATTAAGAATATTTAATAAAAATAGTAATAAAATATGTTAATAAATATATTATAAAAATATTTAATAAATATATAAAAAATATTATAATAATATTTAATAAAAGTATTATCAACTATTGTTATATACGATATATTTTAAATATATTTTGAGCTTCTGTTCTGAAACGTGTTTCTTATTATTATCTATCTTAAATATAAGGAACTTTTTAAAGAAAATTTTATAAATTTTACTTTCAGGTATATATTTTTCACTTTCATTACATCCTTACATATTACATCCTTATTTGAGATATTATATCCACACCCACTAATACCTCTCAAAATCCTTATAGCTAACTACTGATCACAAATCGGCAATAAATTAACGCTTATCGAAACATTGACGGAACAAAATTAGCAGCTCTAATTGCAAGTGTTAACATATCAGCTGCGCCAGTGGCATCATCAATCGGCCTCATTATCATCATCATCATCAGCTGCAACATGGCTAATGAGGCAAGATGGGGTGTGGCTTTAAAGCTGTTGCCAAAACACAACACAAACAAATGCAAGTCAGCCAACCCCGGCCAGAAAGTGACGCCAAATGAGTTAGGACCTCCATATGGATATGGAGCTGAGAGTTGGCAATGGGATTGAGGTGGTTTGGCAACCGCATGAGTTGCATTTCGGCTAAGTCAGTCGTAGGCAAAGCCCCCCAATGAGTGGCACTGATTAAATGCCACGTGCACAGATGCTGCATAGGGAATAGAGCAGCGGCGGGGCGGCGAGCTGCGAGTGAGTTCCGTCCAAGTGGTCAACCACTGTCGACGCACAACTTGGCTAATTTGTCAGAATTTTACGGTGCGAGCATTTAATGCAATATGTAAACTTTGCTCATAGAAAGTGGCTGCCATTGATTTATGTGCAGCAGGTGGCACTTGCCACCCCCTTGCGCACCCATCGGCCCAATGCACATTCACAATTCACAATTCAGATTCTTTGTTTGCATTTGCATTAGAGAACATTTGAAGCCCTGTGATTTGTTGCTCTTGTTTGGCTCCGAGGGTTGCGGATTTGCATAATGCGCTTGTTCTTCTTGTTTGTTCTTGTTTTAACACTTGAATTATTGGCATTTGACACTGAGGCGAAGATTGCTGTACAGCGACAGGCAGCTGTGACGACGACAACAACAACAACAATAGTAATAATAGCTTAATTACAACAACACGATAACGAGTGGCGAACAGCCAATTGTCCACACACAATTGCCAATTTCGCTTAACTTGGTCATAAAACACAGCACAGACAACAACAGCAACAAACATAGCTCAACACAACAAATAAATCTCAATTTGTGATCGGGCCACAAAACAAGAAAATGCCTCAAAATGAATCCAGAAAACGTTTAGCAATTGGCAATTTTCTCGAACTAACTGTTTATGGCTGCAACCTGCAGCATTTCGATTCTCCCAGCTCAACTCACTCGAGACTTTCAACTGCAAGGCAAGCCAAGGCCAGAGATGTCTCTAGTTATTAGAAACTAAATCTTCTTTAGAGTTCTCCTCGCTTGAAGCTGCCATAAATAAGATAAAGCTTTATTTGTTTTAGATGAATTCTCATTTCAAGCTAAGAGATTCTAGTCTAAAAGCTGTTTCTCACCTCATTTGAGCAGAGTAATGTCTGATTGAAAAGCGAATATGCTGGAAAATATTATTATAATAATATATTAGAAAATATATTATTATTTGATCATCTAATAAAAGTAAAATCTGATGAATTAAAATTAGTATACATTTTAAAATATTACGAAAAAGATTTTTAATATATTTTTTTTAAATTTTTAAAATTTTAATGATTATAGAAGTTTATCTGAAAAGTGTTCTCTCTGCAATAGATTTATATTATATTTATAAATTATTTTACACCTTTTTCTCTCATTTTCAAGTTCAGTAAGTTTTCAAACTATCCTCGTTTATTCATAATAAGTGCATCATAAGCTAAAAATCCTCCGACAAAAGCTAACTGATATGAATTTATTATTTTACGTTTGTATTCTTATTGGACAAGTGACATTAACTATGTTGTTTTCTTATAGGAACTGGTTTTTGTGTGCTTGTTGGTGTAATTCGAAGTTTAAGCTATTATTTTCTTATGACATTGAATATTAATGCAACATTTTAGCTTTTACTGTATTTATATTAATTAATAAAAAAAAAAAATAAAAAAATATTTATAATAATTAAATGAATTTGCAAACGATTTTATTTTATTTTTTTATTCAATATTTCATTTCATTTCATTTCCTTTATAAATATATAAATATTTATGTATAATTATAAAGAAATTTCAAGCACTCAATTGCGCTCAATTAACTCGTCAGTTTTATAGGTTTCAGGCAGGAGTAATCGCATAGCTTTACACACTAGTTAAAGTCTGCTCTAAATGCCCTATATTCCCTACTATACTGCAGCTATATATGCTAGGCCTTGCCTAACCAGTTATCCCTATATGATTACCGCTTGTTACATGCCTCGTTGGCTGTGCAATTGTCGAGCTGCGCCCTGATGAATTGCTATAAATGAAATTAAGCGCACTCACACACAGACACACACACGCACACCTACATATGAGTGTGTAATAAGTGCAAAAAGTAAAGTATTACATTTCATATGTTATAGCAGCTCTGGCACCCATAACTTTTCGTGCTCGCCCTCAGGTCGGGGTTGCTCTTGGTCTGGCTCTGGCTCTGGCCCAGGGTCTGGGTCTGGGTCTGCCATCTTTTTTGTGGGGTCAGTCTGTTTATCTTTGTTGTTGTGTGTTGTTGTGGTTACGCGAATTGTTATGGTGTGTTGTACGTTTTTTTTCCCAGTAATAATTTGTTGTTCCTTGTGCTCGGGTGGTGAAATTATGAGCGAGTAAAGTAAGGCCAGATCCACATTAAACCATTTGACATTGCATTTAATATGCTTGCTTGGTTTGTTTTTATTAATTTTTATTGTTCGGGTCATAAATAATAGACCATGGCTCAGAAATAGTAACTGATGTAGCTGCATATTAGATGTAGTGTATAGAGAAAAGGAAGGAATATGCAAGAATATAGCAAAGAGCTGGATTCTGATTGGATATTCCAACCAGATGCCAATTCGAATCATATGAAAGTGAGCTGAATGAGTTCAGCAAATGGACCTAATTTTAATATATTTATTAACTATAATATAGGTACGTACTAGATATAGTGTAGAGTGAGAAAGGATGATAATAAAGAAAAGAATATGCAAAAAATGCCAATGAAATGGATTCTAATTAGAATTTCTAAAATTATGCTAAAAGTGTGAGTTCAGCGACTAGGCTTAGTTTTTATATAACTTCAGTTTCTTAATGTGTGCCCTTGCCGCTCACTCTGTGCCACTGATTAACTTCGGGGGTCCTCCCATATTATCCAACTGCCATCTACAAGTTCAGGACATATTGTTGTCATGTTTAACATATCTTAACGCTACTCAATGCTATGCAGAGGTTCGACTCCAATGCCAAATGCTCGCCAACCAGTTAAGTTAGTTGGCTGGCAAGTTATTCGAAATTCGTGCAAGCCGACTGACGAGCGCTCATCTTCGATTTCGAGTTCTTCATCATTTGTAGCATCAGCGTCAAGATCATTGCTCATGTTTACAATGATGACAGACAGGCGGGGGCAATCGCAGACGGTGGATCGAGCGGCGAGTGGATCGAGGAGATCGAGCCGATCGCAGCTCTCAAAACAATAATCGCAGCATCCACTCCAAGTGGAAGCTGGGAGCTGTAGCTGCTAGCTGGTAGCTGTAGCTGGTAGCTATCATAAATCTGTTCATCGCAGAAATCTACACACAATGGGGCGTTTGCAAACGCATTCGTCGATCGAGGAATGCGACTCTGAAAACTGAAACTGAAACTGAATCTGAATCTCAAAACTGACTGACTGTCGACTTTCGATTGTCTTCAATAGCGACGCTCGCAGCGCTGTACACTGAGCAAAACCAGAGCAGCTAAGTATAGGTTTCATATATATAAGACATATATAAACATATAGGATAGATATATACTCATAAACAGTTTTCATAGTACATTTTTAAAGATTTGAAACTGAGCACAGAAGAAAGAAAGAAACTTGAATATTTTAATAATTTTAACAAATCCATAAACATTTTTTATATGTATTACAACAGTTAAGGCTAGGATACTGTAAAGTAAACCAACTTCCAGTAGGGAATATATAGATAAAAATGCTTTTTATATGAGACAGAGAACTGAAACTGAGCTGAACTAGTTTTGAGCTGATTTTGAGGCAGCATTAACTTAGGTATAACAGTTTTTTGTAAAGCTATATTTATATACTATAGCTCCCATATTTATATATATATCCTATATATACATCTTTATATATATTTCTCAGTGTATTGCTTAGTTGTGTTTGGTTTTTGGTTGTTTTATAATGCGCATTGTTCTGTGTGTAGTTGTGGCGGTGCCCGGTGTGCTGCTGATTTATAGCATTTGTGTGGATCGACCAGGTTTTTGGGGCTACTACTGCAGCACGGCAACTACCAAGGCATTGGCATCGCCGTTGAGTTTATGATTTGTCATAAATATGTCGCCGTGGCAGCGGCGGCGGCGACGGCGCACGTTGGAGCGAACGGCTTAGATCCGCAGCCGTTGGCTGATTGGGCATCGATGCGGCTGATTGGGAATGTTTACTTACTCTTGCTGGAAACGGACGTTGGCCACGCAGTGCCTCATGCAAACCGGAAGCGGCCTCCGATAGTACAACAAGCGCTTGTGATGGCAAATGGCTGCTAACAAATGCGTTGCTTTCCATCTGCAGCTTTTGGCTCACTATTCTTGTTGTGTTTGTTATGTTTGTTGTTGTCAATTTGCAACGAATTTGGCACGGGGCAGCATAACGCATTAACTTTCACCTCAAATTAACAATAGTAATCGTAATTGTAATTGTAATGCAATTATGCATTAATTGGCACTGAATGATGCAAAATGCAAGTTAATTAAATTACACATACATATATATATATATACACATGTGGCATGTGTGTGTATGAGCAAGTATTTATTTGTTTGATATATGTATTTGCTTGTAGCACACGCGCGCGACGGCACAAAACGTCACAGCTCAGCAGCACTCTGTTGGTGGCACCCGCACGTACGCGCTGTAGAAGTCCAACTGGACCAACTATTTCCACAGCCCGTTGAGCGCGGCGCTCAACTGTGTGCTGCTGCTGCTGCTGTCTCTGCTGCTGCGCAGTCGCTCGCTCAGTCAACGCCTCTGTGTTGCTGCACTCTGATTGGTCGGCTGCGTCCAACCGGTTTGACTCTGTGCGCTAGCTCGCTCTTTCACACAGCAGCGACGCCTGCTAAGGCTGACTGGTGCCTGGTGTCGATCTCCCCTCTCCCTTTGCTAGCATTTACATTATGTTAACCTCTTCAGTCAGTTTGTTTTTGTGCATTATTATTCCAAAATGGTTGCATAGCTGTTTGTTGTTGTTGTTGTTTTTGTTGCTGCCTGTTTGTCTGTTTATCTGCTGGTTATTGTACGCCTGTTTGTCTGCCAGCACCTGGGACTGGTCCCCGCACAGTTCCCTGTCTCGCTCGCCCCTTCCTCTGACGCTTTGTGTAAATAAACCGTATGGGAAGCATTTTGACTTTGGATTGCCTGCTGTTGGCTGCTTGGTATTTGTTATTGTTTTGCGTGTTCTTGCTGCTGTTGTTGTTGTTGGTCTGGACAGTGGCTGCAAGTATCTTGAAGTCAGTCTTTTTTTGCGCTAGCTGCTGACTGCTGGCTGTTGGCTTTTGTATGCCGGACACTTAATATAGCACATTACTGTGGTATTTATTGGCCAAGATGTTGGCGAAAATTCTTAGAGTGATATGTTTCAATAAAGGGATACATGAAAATGTGCATTTCATGATTCAGCTAAACAAAATAAATATATTTTTTAAATTTAACTTAAACTACTTGAAAGAAGTTCAGTAATTATTTGAATTTTAAATTTCTAGGGGTGAAAAACAAAACTTTTAATATTAAAAATTTTAGAACACAGTTTTTGTGATTTTTAATAATATATAAATATATATTTTGGCTTATTTGAGATCTATATACATGCAAATATATATGTATATATCAATTTCTAATTAGAATTATTTCTATGGAATGCGCTTTACATAATGTACTTTATTTACAAGTATACAAAATTATATCTCAGTATCTTTTTTTCACATATACACATCCAGTAATATCATGAGATATTCTACTTCTCTTCCCTCGCTCTTTGCAGCCCACTGTTAACTGTGCAGTCAACCCAAAATAGTTGTGCCACAGCATATTAATGCGACAGCAACTACAACAATTACAACCACTCACAACAACAACAACAACCAGTGGAGAGCTTTAACTAATCAAGACAAAAACAAGCTGCGACTAATGGAAAAACGAAGCTGTTAAAAATGGTTTTGTTGTGATTTTGAAGAGTTCCGATTTTTTTTAACCAACTGCAATTTGGTGGCAGCTAAAAAAGATGGGCAGAATGACGGCCAACGCCTGAGAAAAATGAGGGAGTGGATGAAAAAATGAAGGTAGAAGTGGAAGGCGGCAACAAAAAAAGCTTTTGACATGTTTTATGGGTGCAGCAGTGGAGCCTGTCGAGCAGTTCGCCCCGTGATCCCCCAGTACGATATAGCATTGGACATATCTTTAATTGGTGCCTAGTAAATTTAGCTTTGACCATGTTTGGGCCGGGCTCGGACTGCGAGAGATGTGACGCGTAGTCTTGGCTAATTTTTTGCTCATTATATTTACATTTCAAGAATTCTTGCACAGCCCAGCACTTTATAATTTTGCTGGCATTGCTTGCTTTATTACCAGCACAGAGGTTAGAGAAAGCCAGAGGGAGACAGTTAAAGAAAGAGCGATAGGAGCAGAGAGAGAGAGAGAGCGAGAGAGAGCGCGCGCTGGTGGCGAGGGAGTGCCAGAGTGGGACAGCTAGGGAGTTGCCTCTCGCTCAGCGCATGCGCTGCGCGGTAGCCTACATTATGTGCCTAATGCTAGTATATATGCTAGTAAATACATAGGGGAGGACTTCACTGAGCATCGAGAGGTAACCAAGTGCCGAGGCAACTACTGCCCATGTACAGCTACAGCTACAGCTACAGCTACAGCTACAGCTGCTCGCTTTTTGGACTCAACTGCATTTGGCTGGCAGTAGATTTTTCATTTTATTTATGTGCTGTCTTGTGTCTTCTGCTCCTACCCTGCACCGCCCCGCCAACGCCCTCTCAGCCACCTCTCTGATTGCTCAGCAATGTATTTTTTGCCCTTCTTGTATTTCTCAGTTTGTCAGCTTCTCGCTACAAAATTAAATACTTGTCTTTGTTCTTTTTTTATGGCAGCGCTCAGTACCGAATGGGAGCTAGGGGGCCATAGGCGTGGCCACGCGTGTGTGAGTTGGCCATAAAGCGAGTGCCATTTTGGCCTGACAGCTAATTTATGTAGTGGCCAAGAAAGCAGCTGCTGCGTTTTGGCTTTTTCCACATTTCACACACTTCTTTAATAATTTTACCAAACAATTTTCTATAATTTAGTTGGGTTTCCACGCAACGCTTTGCTAAAAATTGTCTTTTAATTGGTTGAATTTTATATTTGCTTTGTGAACTGTGTGATAAAATTGCAGATATACATATATATATATATATATATATATATATATATATATATATGTATATAAATTTATATATGTCTATATATATAAATACAATTTTAGAAAAACATTAAAAATATGTTGGGAAATTAATGAACATAAGATATTTTTCTAGTAGATCATAAACAAGTTTATTTTCAAAAGAAACTGCAAATAAACACAAATATATAAATATATTAGAAATATATATATTAATACCAAAAATCTGAAATATTAAGACACTGACTAGCAAACTTAGACAGGTTGATTATGATTCAATTTCTGGTCAAGAAATTGTCAAAAACTGCTAAGATTTTTATTAAATTCAAAACTTATTAATTTTTTAACTTTATAAAAAACTTTGAATGTATTTGTTGATTATTGCTTAACAACAAATGAACACACAAAATGAGAGCAGGTTGTTAAAAAGCTTATATATAGTTAGTATATCAATATCAAGAACTTTTGGGTTCTATCAACTGCAAACTTCGCTATCGACTCCTATTTCAGCTTCACAGTGTTACTCTTGTCAAGCTGTAAGCATATTAAAATGGTATTCTAGCAGCTTTTGAAAAGAGAGAAAAGCAACTGTGTCCAATGACAAACAACTATCAACTGGGAGAGCTGTGCTCTCTGTAAGCTATGTAAATATTTATTTTTATTATTATTTAATTGTTTTTATTCATATTAAATAGAACAGTTTAAGACTTCAGACTTTATTTTTGTTATAGTAATTTTTATGGCAATTATTCGAATTCCGCAAAAGTGTCTAAGAAGGGGACAATTCATAGCAACTTATATCCGCTTTAATGAACACTTTAAATGAACATAATTTAATCAAAACTTAACTTAATCTAGGCTTGATATTTTAATAATTATTTCCGAATCTATTTTCTACTTGATTGTGATTTTAAGTTTCATTTACTTTTTATTTGCCTTTTAGCATCATGAGTTGCTCAAAAAATAAATTACAAAAAAAAATTTGGCAAGGAGCCCCTACAGTAGGCAAGATATGTAGCTCAATAACTAAAGGCTGATATCGATGTTAATCGACTTCATGGAAAAGAAAAAGTTATCGATGATCTGAAGCGAATTTGATTTGTTTTAGCTGGACATTTCCTGGTTGCAGCATATAATATAATATAATCTGATATAATATGATATGATACAGTGGCTTCTGGGATATACATAAACTTAAGAGTTAAGCCAAAGCACGAAATTATACGAAAAGCAAACGAGTTTAATAGGATACAAATATATTTGATAAAAATATATAAAAAAGCTAAAAAAATAAAAATCTTTCCCTACACCCAACACAAAAACTTAACTAAACTACAATCTATATGCGGCAATCAATATAATCATAAATATTCGAGTTTCCACAGAGTTTCATCCCTATCAGTTTGGTCATACTGCACAGATTACTGCTACTTAGCTAAGCTAACCACTTCCCAGTCCCGGCAACTGTCACTTTCGTAATCCTGCCCGCTCCCACTCGCTGCACCTGCTTCTTTGCTTGCTTTGGCGCCCCGCAAATACCAGTCGGCCACGCCCACGAATTAATTGAAACCGCAATACAAGTGCAAAACGTTAGCTGTCAGAGCCAATTCCAAGCGCAAGCCAAACGCAGTCAAACATCTGCGACTCCCATAAAAAAAGGCAAAGCAAAGTCAAAAAGTATAAAAAAATACCCAAAAAAAGAAGCAAATCCGAATCCTGCACAAATCCCAGACAAATGTGCAGTGGTGAAAATTCCACCGATAGAGATTCATGTAAATATGAATGGAAATGAATTACAAGCGAAATAAATGTACGAAAATTGCACGAAACAAAGCAAATCGTATAATAAAAAAATCATAGTAAAAAGTGGCAAAAAAAAAAACAACGAGGCGAAGCGCTAACATGTTTGTCGACGGGTGAGGGTGAGGGTGGTACGCAGGGGGGGCAGAGTCGAGGGAGTGCGACTTTTGTGGCTTTTTTGGTTGCCAGCGCAATGTTGACATGTTCCAAATGCAATTTTAACAGGATTTGCAAGAACACATTTGCACAAAGTGACAGAAAAACGCAGGCAACAGCAACGACAACAACAACAACAACAACAAACAGTTACAAAAAAGTCAACCCCCGTAGTCGGATAGCAGCCGAAACTCCTGCCCAATCTCCGTTGTCAACCTTGTTGCGTGCGTGGCTGGCATAACTTGCGGCTTAAAGGGCTCAACTTGTCATGTTGCCTGCCGCTGATGTCCGCATTGATTTTCCACTTACGTCGACACTCTCTCTCTC